AATTGTTGAAAAATAACGGCCTAGTCGATTTGAGATGAAAGGAGTCCAGTTTCTTTACCGAAATCGATGAAACCCGCACAGTATAAAATTTCTGGTACAAAACAACACCAAAAGTGGTCCATATAGGTCCATATAGGTCCATATATGAAATGATGGAATACTTAAATGAAAATTTTCCTAATAACAGCTTCCAAGTAAAAAAACTGGACTCAAAAGGTAACAACAGTAGCTTTAAAGTAAGTCTAGATCTTAAAAATAAAGAAATTTTGTTTAATGAATCCAAGTGGCCGCAAGGTATTATTATTAAGGACTATAAGTTTTTTCGAGGTGCCATCAATAGAAATGAGAGTAGAAAATAATTTAAAAGTATTTCATTGTAATATGCAGGGTGTTGAGAAAAAACTTGATGTTCTTGCTCAATTATTATCAGAAATAAAGGCGGATGTAGTTTGCCTTAGTGAGCACTGGTTAACAAAATCAGACATTGATTTTATAAAACTGGACAATTTTAATCTAATAAGCTTTTACTGTAGAGAAACTTTTATACGTGGTGGTGTTTGTATTTTTGCAAAGGCTAATTTAAATTTAAGAACCCTGGTTTATAATAAATCAATTGAGAAGCATTTTAAAGTGTGTGTTAGTGAATACAATAGTGGCAAGTTAAAAATCTACATTATTTGTGTATATCGTTCACCCAATAGTGATTTTAATGTATTTATTGAAAAATTTCAAGAATTTATGTACAAATTTTTTAAAAACAATTATTTTTATATTGTGTGTGGCGACTTAAATATAAATATCTTATTAGATTCGCATCAAAAACATTCTTTGTTAAATGTCTTACGTGAGTTTAACATAAAACCTCACATAAATGTTCCTACCCGTATAACAAGTAATTCAAGTACTTGCATTGATAATATATTTTCAAACTTAGATGTAAATAATACTCAAGTTAAGGATATATACTTTACGGATCATTGCTATCAGTTGTGTAATTTTTTTCTTGAGGAATCCAGTCGGACTGAAAAAAGATGTATATTCAGAAGGGATTTTTCTGTAGAAAATATTAATAGATTCTGTAAACTTTTATCTGAGGAATCGTGGTCTGATATCTATGGGGAAGGCGATTCTAGTGCTAAATTTGAATTTTTTCTTAATAGGTTTCTTTTTTATTATAACTGTGCATTTCCATTGTGTAAAAAAACTTTGTCAATAAAAAATAAAGAATGGTTTACTAGAAATCTAAAGCAAATGCATCAACAATTATGCGAAATGAAAACCCTTTCTAGGACTCTTAATAACCCGACATATACGAAACGATATAAAGAATTTAGGGGAATTTATGAAAACTCTATAATTAATGCCAAAAAAACAATAAATAATTCTAGAATTCAAAATGCTACTAACATCTCAAAGGAAAGTTGGAAGATAATTAATAAGTCTAAAGCCATAAGGCATTCCATATCTGAAATAATAGTAAATAATACTTCCTTTAATGATCCAAAAGATATGTGTGAAATTTTTAACAATCATTTTATTAATAATATAAACAATACTTTAGTACCTGAATTTGACAAAATTAATTTTGGTACCTGGTCGGAAAAGTTTTTTTCTTCATCCTGTAACTCATTTTGAAATTATTGAAACAATTAAAAAAACTACTAAGAAACATGCAGCTGGATTTGACAATATCGACGGTAAAATCTCAAACTTGGTGGGAGAAATTGTAGCTATTCCTCTGGCGCACCTTGTAAACTTGTCCTTTTTTGATGGAGTGTATCCCAGCTCATTAAAGAAGTCTAAGTGTATTCCGGTGTATAAGGGGAAGGGTTGCAAAAATGATCCAACCAATTATAGATCAATTTGCCTATCAAGTCAATTTGGCAAGGTTTTAGATTATAAAAGACTGCGAGATTTCCTAGAAAATAATTACCTTGTTATTGAAAATCAAAATGGTTTTCGACAAGGAAAATCCACACATACCGCTATAGCTGATGCCCTTAATTTTATATATGAAGGTCTCAATAATAAGCAGCAAATGGTGGGCTTATTTTTTGACCTAAGTCGAGCATTTGATATGGTTAATCATAAACTTTTGCTCAAAAAACTTGAATCCGTAGGTGTACGGGGTCCACCGCTTAAGTGGGTCTCCTCTTATTTATCCGACAGAACTCAGATTGTTTTTTTAAAAAATGCACAATCAAGGTGTGAAAAAGTCTTACTTGGGGTTCCACAGGGGTCAATTCTGGGTCCTTTGTTTTTTGTTATGTTTATTAATGACATATCTGTCTTATTTAATGAACATGCTAAATTTGTATTGTATGCTGATGATACAAATGTTTTGCTTAGGGATAAAGAAGTGAAAAATCTTTCCACAAACTCTTCCTTGGTGTCAAATCAGTTTAGTAAATGGTGTCAACAAAATGGATTACTTTTAAATGTTAATAAAACAAACTTTATGCAATTTTTTCCAAAAAATGCAAGGCTTGATTCTAGCCTATACATAAACATTAATAGTTCATCAATTCCAGCCTGCGATTCAGTAAAATTCTTGGGGATAACATTGGACCCAAAATTGACTTGGGAACCACATATAAATTCTTTATGTAAGAGATTAAGCTCCTTATGTTTTTTAATAAGGTCTCTTAGAGACACAGTGTCCTTTCCTGTATTGAGATTAATGTATTTTGGCGTAATTCAATCTGTATTGTTATATGGTATTATTTTTTGGGGTGTTTCAGCTCATTTTGAAAGAGTATTTTTATTACAAAAAAAACTTATTAGATGTCTAGATAGTAAAAGTCCATCATATTCGTGTAAACCGTTATTTAAAAAATATTCATTTTTAACACTACCCTGTTTATTTATTTACAATTTAATTATATACATTGAAGAAAATAAAGGTTTATTTATAAAAACAAAGGATATGCATAGTTATGGTACAAGAGGTAATAACAACCTATATTTGCCTTATTCCAGATTGTCAGTCTCTCAAGCCTTTGCTTATCAGGGAATAAAATGTCATAATCATGTGTCAAATGTTATTTTATCTTGTAAAAATATTAATATTTTAAAGAAAAAATTACACACTATTTTTTTAAATAAAATGTACTATTCTGTTGAAGAATTTTTTAAGGATTCTTTTTAATTTTATCACTAAATTTTATTCTTGTATATGTTATAGTATTTAATATTAAGTGTCATTATTTTTACTTATTTTTGTGTGACTAGTCATATAGGCAAAATTTATTTTGTAATTTTGTTTTACTGATGAATAAATTATTATTATTATTATTATTATTATAGGTCCACACTAGAAATGGTATATCTAACACATACAATTTGGTAAATTTTACCCTTTTTAATTGGTTAATAATCTATACGTACTATTCGTATAAAAAACTCATAACAGTGTAAAAATTATCAAATATAATAAACTCTTAGGGGTAAAATCAACACGCACTATTGGTAAAAGAATTCCATTCAAGAGTAAAAAATGCTCAATTTGGTATAATTTACTACACAGGTAGGTGTTACGTGTAGGTGTTAAAAATGGTGGGGGTTTTAATATTAAACACAGCATGTAATGTAAAATAAAGTATATTTTATATTACTTACAAACTTTTAGATATGATTACAAATAGACTTTGGCATAAAATAAAAAAAAATGATTAACACTACTAAGGTGTAAGTATTCTTATAAGTTTTAATAATTATTTTTAATTGAATGAAAAGTAGTGATATTTTTAGCTTATATAGTTATATAAGTTAAATAAGATTTTTCATCAGCTCAAAAAACTTAAAATATTACTAAATTTCATATTTCACTTAAAAATTGCAGGTAAAAAAACATGTTTTATAACAAACTTAAGTTGCATCCACTGTCACATGGCAGCACTTCACCCAACCACTGAATTTTAATTTAAAAACTATGATCTTAAATTAAAATAACATGCATAGGTACACTACCATCAACTGCACTCCGAGTACTAATCGCGCCCTTGCCGTTAGCGAATGGTGATGACTACGTGCCTTTTTTACCATAATTCGGGTGGATGTCAACACATAATAGTGTCAAATGTACAATCTCATAAAATATAAAAATACATGTAAATCATACTATTGAATTTAGATACTTCATTCTGATTACGTTATTCATTATAATATTTTTTGCATTTTCTGAGAACATTTACCATAGAAATGTATATTTTTTTTACACCATCAGAAAGTAGAGATTTCAACGAACAAAAAGCACACCGACTTTTTGAAAAAAGCTGATATTTTGACGCGAGAATTTTCGATTGAAAATTAGGGTGCTTTTTTGATATTAAGTCAAAATAAGGCGAAATAATAAATATTTCAAATCAAATAAATTACAGTGTATTTGGGACATAAAAAGGTAAGTTTTCACCAAATTTCGTGAAAAAAAATTTTTTTTTGAAAAAGATAAAAATAAAAAACCAAAAACTTGGTTTTTTGAATTTTTCACATAAATTTTGAGGTTATGTAAAAAAATTGTAATCACAAAAGTTGTAGATCCTTTTATTACCTACAACTTTGCCATTTAACTTTTTTCCATAGGACTTGTAGTTTTGCCGGAAATCGAGATAAACCATTTTTTACCTTTAAAACCCCCCCCTCCCACTTCCCGAAGTCAGATCGCCCGTAATTTATTTTTCCTTTCATTTTTATTATATTCTTCTCCTTTTCCAATGGGTTTCATCGTACTGTTATTTTTTTTGGTTTCAAAAATTATCGACCCTGGTCTATAGATTGACCCGTTGCTGTAATAAATGAATTTAAATTAACACGAATGAATTTTACCACAATTTAAAATAAACACTTAATATTTTTGACCAATTTTATTGTATATATTAACACCAAATGATTTTACCACTCCATTTGGTAACTTTACACCGAAATAATTTATACTGTGCTTAAATTTGTTTTGTTCACAGGGTCAAAGGACCCTATAATAATTGTTTTATTTAAAATTTTAGGTACTCTCTCTTCGACGCCCTGGACCTTGAATACGCTCTCCTTCGAGCAGCAGCGCGGGGCAGCGTCGGTCCCTACTCCCTGAGCGAAAGCCTCCACAAGCTCACCTTCACGCAAAGCTTGGCTTTTCCAGCCTTGGCGCGCGGCCTGGCCGGCAAACGCAGAAGATCGCAGACAAACAACACCAGCAGACCCATCGACCCATCGGAAAGCGGACTAAACATTTTCGCGAAAGTCGTTACGGCCCTCGTTTTAGTGCTGGTGAGCGTTTTAGTGTTCGCGGTGGTCTACAAGTTTGTGAAAACGTGAGGGTTGCTTCTAGCTCCAGGCGGGGCTAGAATAAACAGATTTATCGTCGGCAGGAATTCTAGTATGCATAAAAATCCCGGTGATATAACATGATGTGTTTCTGGGGGATTTCTTGTAATGGAATTGATTTCCATTAGATAGGGTATAATAATTAATATATTAATTATAAGGTATTTTTATACTTAAGTCAGCAAGTCAAAACGTTTTCATAACTATTTTTCATAAACTAATAACCTTTTGTAATTTACAGGTGCACCGATTATCCTACTATAGGTGGTAGTATATAATTATACATTATTATTTTATTATTATTTATTTTTTATTTAAAAAACTACAAGGTCGGTTATATCAAATAAAAATTCCATCATTACACTCATTCAAATAAAATTTGAAAATTAAAAAAAATGTATCTTAAAAAACCTGAAGAAAAACAAATATTGTTATTTCTAGGAATTAAAAAAAAAAATTGTTTTAGATGTAAATGTTACTCAAAGTTTAGTAGCGAAAAAATTGTACAAAATGTAACAAAATAAGTATGCTCTCTAAAAATTAATTAGTCAAAAATGACTAATTTAATTGTTATTAGTGGCTGCTTTTTCACTTGTACCATGGTTATCCATGGAATACCATGGTATCCCAAAATTTAACAACCAATTTATATGTACAATTGTCCCCTGAATCCGAAAATACCGTCAAAAATTATAAAAGTGAAGCGGTTTTTGAGATATAGCACATTCCATATTAAATGGAAAATTGACTATATCTCAAAAACTGTTCTACTTTTTTAACTTTTGAGGACATTTTCGTATTCAGGGGACAATTTTACAAAATAATTGGCTGTTAAATTTTGTGATAACAAGGTATGGTTAACCATGGTACAAGTGAAAAAGCAGTCACTAATAACTATTAAAGTAGTCATTTTTGACTAATTCATTTTTAAAAGTGTTTATCTACATGTAAAAATTACTTTTTTTTAAATTCCCAGGAATAACAGTTATAACGATATTTGGTTTTGACATGTTTTCAGTTTTTTTTTTTAAATAAACATAGAATACTTGGTGCACATAGTATGGTTTTAACAAAAAATAAACGTTTATTTATATTTATATATTTTTTTATATTTTGTACATAATATTAATACAAAGATTGTTAACTCAATTACCGTAAAATAATAGTTTTTTAAAATACTAAAAGTCAGCGAAATATGTATTTTTTTTAAGGCACTGAAAAAATTTTTTAAATGTAAAAATGTAATCTCAAAAAGAAAATTATTATCAAGCCTTGTTGGTGGTGGTGGTTCTAATAGTATATTATGTATCAACGGCATTTTAGTCACGAGATTAAATTGGATAAGTAGCGAAGCTTGCAAATGAGTGTTTAATAAAAATATGTGCCTAAAAAAGTTTATAAACGAGTTGCATACTATACTTTTTCTATGGCAAAATTTAATATTATACAAAATAATTTCTCAATTTAAATATTTCAGTTTGACAAAATTTCAAGTAAAAATCAGGGAGGATGTTTTTATAAGTACTTCATACTAAATTATTAATGCTTCATCGTAGTGATGCGACTTGATAAAAAACGATCCGTTTTTTTTCTTTTTTTTTCAGGTTTTTTTCATTGTTTTTTTTCAAATGGTTTTTTTCATATTTTAGGTTTGTTTTCAAGATTAGTCTCATTTACCTAATTTTTTATGTTTTCAGTCCAGTTCATGGACTAAAATTAGCCACTAAATGACATTTAGTAAATGTAAATACAGTGTCGCGCTATGCACGACCACCACCACCACCACCGAATTGACCAATAAGGGCCGCGCTAGTTTTGATTTTATCCTAAAAAAATTAACTACCCATAATATTTTTGATTCAGCGCTTGATTTTTTAAAAAGCTACCAAAAGCACTTTTTTCATGATTTTTCAAATTCATGTAGAGTATGGAATTTTTTTTCAAAAATTTTGATTTAATAGCAAAGCCAAACAAATTTCAAATTTTTTTATTACGGTATTCGTTAGGATAAAAACTAGAAACTTTAAGCTTCAAATTGCTCCAATACGACCATTTTTTTTGAAGATACAACTATCCGTAAAATCGCAAAAAATTTGGATTTCTTTTTATCCTTTAATTTTTCCTATTAGTGTAGAAGTTTTACATTGCTATTGGTTTCTTATGTGGAAACTACCAAATAATATGAAATCAGATTTTTTTGTCTCGGTCAAAATTGTAAATATATTCTACATTTCACTTTATTATTAATATACATTTTACTCAAAATTTCATTTTGAAAAATTAATCCAATTTTTAAGATTGATGTTATTTATTGACAGAATGTGCTTTATTGTAGCGGATTTGAAAAAAAAACAAAAAACCCGTTTTTTACCATCTCTACTTCATGGGCAAATACTAGTTTTCTGCCGGCAAAATCAAAAGGTCAGTACAAACGTGCCAAGAATGGCATCATAAATCTATTTAATATGTTTGTATTGAGATTATAATATAATTTTTACATTTTAATATTATTTTACTTTATTTGTGATTGTTTGACATTTGACAACTATCAACTAACTTAAAACTTACTTCAACCCTTGAATAAAAAGCCCGAAGCCACGGCTGCATTGTAATGATAAAAATAAAAAAAAATCAAAATTGTTAGAAGTAAAAGAAAGTGGTGATACTAAATATGTATATAATTTTAGTGAAATATTCAACGTGTTAACTATTTTATTTTATTTAAAGCTGTAAGAAACACTTTTAATATAATTTTGTCAAAAAAAGATATACGTGAATTATGGCTAATTCCCTTAAAACGTTTTTTGTTATATAAATGATATAAAAAAATATTAAATAAAAAAAGGGTTTATTATATTATTACCATTTAAATAAAATAGTATTAAATTGTTTTTAGACATTATTGAATAGGTTTTAGACTTTAAAATTTTATGCTAATTTAAGTATAAAAATATCAAAAATAAACATAATAAATTAAAAATATTTTTACAAATTTAATGTGATTTTATATAATTAAACTAAAATATTTAAATTTATTTGATATAAAATTAAATTAAACTTTAGCTGTTGTGTGGGGCAAAATATAGTGGATTTTATTTATATTCAATCAAACATATATTATTGTGCCATTAATTCTTGTAGGGCAATAAACAATATCAAGCTTATAATGTAAATAGTAACTTATACGATCGTATATTAATTTTTAATTTAGATAAATGTACAAATTGGCACTAACAGTATTTATAAGGTAATAATCTTTTATATATTTTTGTACAATTTCTATATCGCCATGTTATATCTATTTACGTATAATTTGTATCATTTTTAAATTTTGTAAATATTGTTATATAACTTATTGACTAACGACTGAAGCAAAATTTTGGTACTTATATTATATAAATGTTTGTTAATCTGATATCTTGTGTAAGCAGTGTAAATAATTTAAATAAATAACTCATCGATATTTTCAATATTTAGTTAATGTTAAAATAACAAAGATATATTCTTGTTACATGACAATCAAATATTTTAATGTTTATATGCACAAAATATAATAGAAATAAAGCTTTTACATACATTGTTAAGCGGTTTATTATGATTATAATCGAATAACCTTCAGAAACTTTATTAATTATAAACGAAGGACATTAACCTTCATGAAAAGTGTAATGTCCTGTTATAAATAAAATTGTATTTTAATAAAATTATCATAAAATAAAAAAGATTAATTTTTATAGGATAAAATCACGAATGTGGCAAATTTGATTGAGAGTTTTTATCATAATTGCGTAAGTTACCCTAAAATTATTTGGAAAATGTTCCTATTCGCGGCAAGACCCCTTAAGGCCATTACCAAACTTTACTGCCTATTTTAACAAAATATATATTAATATTTTAATAAATAGTGCACTAATTTGACTGTACTAACAAGATTTATAAAAACTACTTCTTGTTTTACATTTCTGAAATAGCGACTTTCTATAGAAAATTTTCTCTATACACTATGGTGTCCTAAGTTGGCTTTTTTTAATTGGGTAAATTATTTTTTTTACAATCTAAAAAAATGTTTGTTTTTCGTTTGCTAAGGGTTTGTACGCTTACAACCTATATTTTCTCTCTGAATTTTTCGTTGTTGACTTTTTCGGTTGGGTATCATCTAAATTATTTGTTAACAGTCTAAAAAATCAGAGAGTTACAGCAATGATACCTTGCGGTATAAAAAATCAATTTTTTTTATTGACTATTTTTACAATATATACTTTTAAGAATATGTACTTAATATTTCATCAAAATCGGAGCACTAGAACTTATGTTATAGCAATTTATAATGCGCTACCTCAGACATTGAATGAACTTAAAACTTTAACTCGTTTATCTCGGAACTGCCGTTGCCGTGAGCATGATTTCTCTAAAACCAATTTACCGATCGATCTGAAATTTGGAAGTGCTGTTACTTATTGGGTCAGAATTTCTCAAACGGGCCACCTGAATTAGGTCAAAATTAGTTTTTGATTGTAGATACATTTTTTCGATAGTATTTTACATCACTAACACAAATCCTAAAGGATTTTGTAAAAAAAAAATTTTCAATTGACATATTCATGATATTAAAAGTAAAAGTTTTTAGTAATTAAAAAATAAAAAAAAATCATTATGGCTAAACTAATTATCCGATTCCAACGATTTAACTAGCGTTGGAATCTTGTTTTGACATAGATTCTTTGTTATTTTTTTCAATTGTACAATTTTCATTTAGGTCGATTTTTTTTTGTTTTTTTTATAACAAATTCGGAAATAATTGGCTTCTGCGCCAGCTATCGACTCGAAAAAAAAAACACATATACTACAATCATTTTTCGAAATTATGCTGCTGAGAAAAAAAATGGCCCGCAGGTTCCAGACCACCGTAAGACGTCGCGTCACAAGCGCGTACAGCCTATACGGTTCGGAGCGTGAGCTGACACCGCGCGCGGCCACAAAAGGACGAATAACTTTTTGTCAACCTGCGGGCCATTTTTTTTCTCAGCAGCATAATTTCGAGAAATGATTGGAGTATATGTGTTTTTTTTCTCGAGTCGATAGCTGGCGCAGAAGGCAATTATTTCCGAATTTGGTATAAAAAAAACAAAAAAAAATCGACCTAAATGAAAATAGGACAATTGAAAAAAATAACAAAGAATCTATGTCAAAACAAGATTCCAACGCTAGTTATATCGTTGGAATCGGATAATTAGTTCAGCCATAATGAATTTTTTTATTTTTTAATTATTAAAAACTTTGACTTTTAATATCATGAATATATCAATTGAAAATTTTTTTTTTACAAAATCCTTTAGGATTTGTGTTAGTGATGTAAAATACTATCAAAAAAATGTATCTACAAACAAAAACTAATTTTGACCTAATTCAGGTGGCCCGTTTGAGAAATTCTGACCCTATTACAATAGCCCCTCCTGAATGAAGGGATTTTCATTCGGACTAAAATTTCTATTTTTTTCGACCGGAAAACTAAATTTTTGTACCCTCGAATATCGATTATTTTGGGAAAATCACCGCCATTTGCGTGAACATTTTTTTTACAAAACCCTTCGTTTACGGATGGGGTGATACTATGTTCTAATATGGATTGTTTTTTATTAATATCTGACGATTTTCGATATTTTATGCTCACCGCAAACGCTTGAAAAAAAGACATTTCGGGACAAGGGCTGCATTTTCCATAATTTTCCATATTTTCGCATACATTTTTTTTACAAATACTTCGAAACATACCCTATTCGATGCTTTATAGTTCGTTTCAATATAATTATTATTAAATACCAAAAAAATCACCAAAAACGTTAATTTTTACGAGCTCATATGTATGTAACCCCTTAAATATTGGCATGAAGAAGTAAATGTTAAAGATTTACACATTAATATATAACAAAAAAGATATTTATCCAATAAAATTTTCAATCAACGCTATTACTAAACCTTTGTTTTAATTACATTTTTAAAAGCAAGTTGACTATTAAAAATTAAATTACAAACAAATACGGTAAAATAAAAGATTATTGATTGAAAATTATACCGAAATATTAAAAAAATATATTAATATATTTTTTGATATATTCTTAAATATATTGATATAAAAAAAATTGATATATCGTTGCCATCCCTACTTATGACGTTGCAGCAATATAAAGAAATGCATGTTTAGAGTAATGGTATACAAGCTATTGATGTTAATAAAGTCCTTTTGCCGAAATGTTCAAGAGTAACTATTGCTGTTTTATTAAAAATTATATGATTTCAAATAGTATAATGACTGCATTACTGTTAAGCGCATTAATGGTTACTGTTTCATTTTATCCGTAAAGAAAGCAACAAACCAATTAAATGAGAAAACATTTTGCATAAAAAGTAAATATCAAGAAACAACTTCTTGGGCAAGATTTGTTGACATTAAGCTTGGAGTTTGGGATTTTAAATAAAAGCCATTTTTTTCTAATTTATATTTAATATATCGACTAACATCGCTAAAATATTAGTCTAGTATAAGGTTTAATGTACAAAAAAATATAAAAAATCAATAGATAACAAGCTAACTTAAATTAGAAAAATCATCAAGTTCGTCTACTTGATCCCATTGAATGTTTTTACGTAGAAGAAATATTTGAGCTTATAATCTAAACTTTTTATTTATTTTTATTTCACAGAAATTACCCTTTGGAAATTTATTTGTACTTTTAAAAGAATTATATAGCTCAATAAACGTGATATGATTTACAGGTAAATTATGTTTTTAATGCTAAGAAGCCTTTCTAATTTATCTAGATGATATTGGAATGATCTAAAATAACTAGGTTCTAAGTTACTTGGATTTAAATAATCGTGATCCCATTGTTTTTAAAATTAAGTAGTTATAAATGTTCTTCCTTAAAAAAAACATACATAATAATTTTTTAGTAAATAAATTAATTTCATTGTGAAATAAATAAATGTGCGTAATTTATTGAACATAATAGATTTTAAATAATTATAAAGTTAATACCCATTTATTGTTGATGAATAAACTCGAAACTTTCTATTTTTTATTATGATTGTTTTAACACATATTTATCTAAAATCTATACATTTATATTTCTATTAACCAGTTATTTTATATTTATAAACCGAAACGAACATTATGTTTTTGTTTATTAAAATTTATTTATTCATTTATTTTATTTTATCAAATAATAAAAAAAAACAATCATATCTACGTGTACATTTTCTAAAAATATTCTACAGATGTTTAGTACTCTATTGCCTATGTCTTATAAAAGTCAATAGAGAAAAAAAATAAACATCCGGCCATCACCAACTCTTTAGGGGGTTCATATTATCAGCACCGGTTTTTATTTATAAACCCCGAAATAAAACAAATTAAAATTTAATACAATTAATGTTAATCTTACTGTAAGTTGGCACCGACGTTTTTAATTCCTTTTTCAAGAAAAACACAAAACAAAGTTGTGAACTTAACGCTGAAAGTATAGAAAATTCTTTTAATATGTCCATGGATTAAATATTAAAATATAATGGTGATACAAAACTTAATATTTGCTTGTAAAAGTGGTAAATCTATTTATTTTAATGAATATATGTTAAACCAGTTTTTATAGAAACAAATATTCGGTCATTTATTTAAATTAATAACATTTAAAATTAAATTATGCATGAAACTGTCCACAGCTTGGTTCACACTTTCCAGCATTTCCAATAATCTGATTTCGTGTCAACTTTATTTTATTGTCTAGGGTGTTTACAAAATGTCAAACTATGTGGAAATATTTTCAATATATGTCTTAAGTTATTATTTATTACTGGCCCAAAATTCAGTTTTAAAAACTGGTGCCAAGGCCTAAAAAATACATATAAAAAAATTCTAACCTAAATTAAAATAAAAATTATATTTTATAAAAAAATCTGTATTAGATTGTCAGAAAATTTAAAATTACTTAAAATAGCAGCCTGTATAATACGCTACTATGAGAACTTTTTAATATTTATGTAACTATTAAAAAAAGGTATCAAATTTGATTTAGTTTTATTTCGCGGATTAATAACACAGCCACACAAAAAAAAAGTGTCGTGATCTGGGCATGCGACATATGCTTTCCTATGGATTTTGACGCCCTGAATCCGAATCCGATGTCAGAATTTCTCCTCCAGGTCAGCGTTTCAACTTAACCTCAAAAAACGTGAACAAGTTAGTATTTCCTGTTCTGGGGATGAGGCATGTCGATTCTTATGTTTCTCGATGTACTGAATGTAAATAAGCTCTCAGAATCGATCACACACGTTGTTCTTTTGACTCTAACCTCGAAAAATGGTAAATGGAAATGATAGTAAATTGTGATATACTGCCTTGAAGGCTGTTTTTTTTTAAAGCCTATATCAGCATCGCAGATTTTTCAGATTATATTCCTTCATGGTAAATTAAAACACAGAAATTATTGGTATCAATGTCTGAAAATTCAAATTAACATTCATCATTTGGTTTTTGCGTTATCATTTGTGAAGCTTACCTAATAACTTGAGTCTTAAACATTTTCATATTTCATTGTTACTTCGAGGAATTCGATGTTTTAAGTTGATTCTTTGGCAATCACAATAAGTACACGTGGTTACAGTGTTTTCATTCTGAAGCTGTCAATGTTCTTAGCGTTGTAGTTTACTACCTGAAGCTCATAATTTCTTTTTATGGTATGGATCCGTTGCCCACCGTCACCACGTGGAGGTGCCCTGGTTACAGGCACAAGCGAAAAATGCTAAAATGGTCAGCGATATCATGTTTACCCATTCTTCTAGAAATCCAAAAATAGAGAGAATAAAACAGTAAATTTCATATTCATTTCGTTGTAAAGACATTGCTTATCGTGTTAAAATTTACCTTTTTACAGAATAGTAAAATCTGCGATAGAAGATAAGGGTTATATAAGGCCAGTTTAGGTTAAATTAGGTGATTTAAGGTTAGGTTAGGTGAGTTAAAGTTAGTTTACGTCAACTGTTAGAATGAGACTCCGATGATATAGGCTTTCAAAAAAAAACTAGCCTTCAAGGCAGTATATCACAATTTCAGTATATTTCATTTCATTGCGTTTTTTCGAGGTTAGAGTCAAAATAACAACGTGTGCGATCGATTCTGAGAGATTATTTACATTCAATGCATCGAAAAACATAAGAATCGACATGCCTCATCCCCAGAACAAAAAATACTAATTTTTTCACGTTTTTTGAGGTTAGGTTGAAACGCGGACCTGGAGGACAAATTTTGACATCGGATTCGGATTCAGCGCGTCAAAATCCATAGCAAAGCATATGTGGCATCCCCAGATCACGACACTTTTTTTTTGTGTGGCTGTGTAATAAAAGATAGGTTTTGTTAACTTCCACCACCCTGGTAATATCACAGGACAACCGAAAAAAAGTTGTCCCGTTTCGCTTATATTTATCTCAGTATCACAGAAAAATCAACACGCCAATGAAAACAAGTAAAACGATAAATTTAGGCATCACAATGACTTAACAAAAGAGTATTTTCCGTGGAATCTTTCGGCTCGACTTCTTTGTTGAGGAAGGGCTGATCCGTTGTCGATAAAGCGTCGTTATCGGCGAACACATCATCATCCATCTTGGAATCCGAGCACTCGATGACAGTTTTGTCGTCTGATTTTGATGTCGGGCTGTCGTGAGATTCGTCCTCTTCGTTTAGAGTTTCCATGGTGGATAATCCTGCAAAAATAAATCGTTTATATATGTACATTGAGTTTTTTTTTGTCTTTTTTAATATATTACAAGTAGTTTTTATAATATTTTATACAAAAACAAGAATTGATAATAATCAACAATAATCAACAGTTGTCATAAAATTTTATAAATTTAAAAAAAAAAACAATTGACGCGTTTCTCGGAAAAACATCATTAGTCCAAAATTAACATATTTGGGAAAATGAAAAAACTCTCCGACATTCCCATTTTTGACCAAAGTACTTTATTGACCTATTTACTACATGTAAAAAAATGTAAGATACTTTGTCCAGAATTCCTCATGTTTTTTTTTTCAAACGAATATGAAAAAAACACAAAAAATACATGAACATGTGAGGTTTTTAGAAGAAAAAAACGAACAATTCTCCTTACTACAAACACTACAAACTAAATATTAACTCTGAGCAACAAAATAAATGAAAAAACTAAAAACTGTATTATGGCCACACTCAGTATTCGCATCCACTGCTGTTATCATCGTGTCGACCGTGTTATCAGGACTGTCAGGTGCTATGGTCTTCTGGTCTTTTATCGAGTTATCATAAAATTTTCTATTGCTGTGGTCATGTAAAAGAGGTAGAAGCTTTTCTAGAGTGTCCAAAAACGTCACATGTTATGCACATGTGACTTTCTTAGACGAAACGGAGTGGACTTGTGATGTTTTTAGAAGAACAAGCTAAATTTCATATTTAATTATTATGGAACCTATGACATTTTTACGAGAAACACTTATTTGTATACGTATATGGAGGTTAGGAAACAGTTGGTGCTAATATCTAAATTTCGACGATATTGGACTAATGATGTTTTTCCGAGAATTGTACTGTATTACAAAATAAACAAAATATATAAAAGACGTTTTTGCACATATATTTTAAATTATAAAACCCTAAAAAGTTATTGTTGATTCTGCGGTCATTGAGTTGAAATAAATAACCTATTTAAATGATAATAATTATTATCATCTACATATTATAATGTGCACACAACCCAACCCAGTAAATACGAGAGACTGTATTTGAAATTTTAATTGCACTTCTACGGGCATATGTAAGTGCATACGAGAAAAAAATCTTTATTTTTCAATGTCACGTTAAAAGATATGCATTAGTTAAAGGCATGGGCTGTAAAGGAATAGTATATTCTGTAACAAGTTTGGAATACAGCATATTCCGCTCGAGTGAAAAGTTTGTCACACGAGCCGAAGGCGAGTGTGACGGTTTCACGAGAGCGGAATATGCAATTCCAAACGTGTTTCAGACTATACTTTTTCTACGCTTATAAAAAATACCAGAGAAATAATTTAATTGGAAAAAAGTTAGGTTATCTTTTGACAGATGTTAGATTTTATGATGGTAGTAAATAAGATAATTTTTAAATAAGCTTATAAAAACTACTTACATAATTTTGCAGAACCTAAATTAGGAAGTATAAAGAAGTAATAAACTTTTTTTATTCTTTATTATTTACATGTATTGTAATATAATCAATACTACAGTTTTGAAAGGTTAAATTTGGGGCAATATTTAAGTTTTCTTTATTTACTAAGGAATTCAAAGCTGCAGTTGAAGATTGAGACATTAGTTTATTAGACACATCTAATCTACTGGATAAAGAATTGTCAATATAACATTCTCAGAAAGAGAAGTCGTATTTTTCTTTTACGCCAGTCCATAAATTGTTTATAAATTTGCAGATAAACTTCTTTGGACTTTGGACTTTGGACGCAGGTAGTAAATCTGGCGTTGTTTGATTGGCCTTTTCAGTTAGTTCTGGAGGAGTGTTTTCAAACGCGTTTCTTCTTCATCAGTAGACATGGACATATTATTTAACGACGATATATTATTCAGAGATAAATATAGACACATTTTAAGTAAATAAATGGACAAATCGTAAGGAATGACAAATAAGTTATTATTTGAATTTCAAATTTTGAATTAACTAATGACAAACGTAAACAATTAACCAGTGCTGCCATCTCTTTGGGACTAAGTCAAACCTAAATATTCTAATAGAATCCTACTAAATCGGCCAAACAGAATTACAACTAGCTTGTAAAGAAGATATATTTTGGGTATTTTTTATTTAACGCAAACTGTTTTAAATCCTATTGTATACTACCGGTTAATATTTTCTACCGGGCCTTTCTGAAAAAAATAGATTTGGTAGGAATACAAGTGAGTTATAAAATAAACATAGAGATGTCGCCCCCAGTGCTCATTCCATCATTAGAACATGTGTAACACTTTATGGAATATACGTAATTCCAGATTAAAAAGTCATATAAGAACTGTCAAATTCCGTAATAAGCGTAGAAAAATATATTTAATTAACGCATAACAAGACAATAAGAAATCGATTATTTTTTTCTCTTATCCACTTATACAAGTGGTATACAGGTATACCTGTAAAATTGGAATTTAAATTTTTGTCAACATTCACAACAGTTTAACGATAATATCTTGTGTAGTCTTGGCAACTTTAATAATTTTTACTCGTAAACCAGAATCTTTCTAAAACTTTGTAATTGGCTTTTAAGAGGAGTACTACAACCACCTGAACCTTCATAAAATTCAAAAAAATAATTAAAAATATACCCATATGATATATTAATAAAAATATAATGATAATGAGTTAATACTAACAAATTGTATTACATGTATAAAATATTTCATGTAAAACTATAAAAAGCAGGCTTTTAAAAATGGCGAATGCGCCGGGATTATTATGTTTGAGGTTTTGTAATTTGTTTAGCTATTTAGCTAAATATATTGGCAAGGATTTTTCTCATTTAAAATAATTTTAGTGTACTCTTTGATAAACGAACCCATAAACAAAAACATTTTTTTATATTAATTTTAAATTTATGCATTGATCATTATATTTAATTAGTACCTACATTTTTTTACAAGGGTGCCCGCTATTTTATTTATTTTGGAATTTTACCCATCCATAAAAAATATATAAATTTTTATATTATAAAAAAGATTTTTCATTATATTTTCATACTTCTTATACCGTAAACACGGTTAAAATTTTTGTAGTTTTAACAATCATAAAAATTAAATATTGTATACCAAAATTTGAGTCCTAAGTTGCTCTTTACAAAGTTAACTTTGTCTCACAGTGTATTTTCCGTATACAATATTTTATTTTATTTTTATTAGAACCATGTTAGCATCGATATAAAATGGACTTGTAGTTAACTTTAACCAAGGATCATCATTGCAAAGGATTGCGCCTAATATAGAAATTCCATTTATTTCTTTAAAACACTGATTTTCTTGTTATATAGATTTGCTCAATTGACAGGTTTAGACCAACAAATTATAAATGTTAATTTTATAGAGCGCGAACAGATTTTTCATAAAAAGGTTAAAGTCACCCGCGGGGTGCAAAGCCACCCGTGTTTACGGTACATTGTTAAAAAACCTTTCTTAAATTATGTTCGTTACCGTTTGAAGCAGTGAAATCAGTAATAAAAATTATAACAGTTTTTTTTTAAATTGCCAAGGAAAATGATGTAATGTAATAAATAAAATTATCTTAGACAATGAAAGATTTTTGTAAATGTGAACAGTTTTAACATTTTAAACCAATTTGTAGCAATTGACAAACTCGTATTTAAAAAAGGAATTTGGTTTGTAAAGTTTGTTTTCATGTTCTTGCGAGTGAGTGTTTAAAAACAACGAGTGTCTAAAGAGGTTTATAAAACAAGTGCATTCTATAGATAATAAATCCGTCACAATTAAAAATAAAGCACCTAAATCAAAAGAAGGCACTACACCAACTCCCTCTACAACGCTAAAAACATTGGAGGAAGCAACAAAAAGTGCATGTGATAAATTCATCAATATAAACAAATCTTCCACCCCAACTAATAACTCTGATTGGACAGAGGCTGTTAAGAAAAAACATAATAAGTCGTCGAACAATAAGACCAGTATTGTGGGCAACCTAAAAAATTCCAATTGTATTCTAAAGGTTATCCCAAAAAAGTCTTTTGTTTATGTCTCAAGGCTCGACCCAACAACCAATAAGGACGATTTGGTTAATTACCTGAAAGATCAGTTTCCGGAGGTTTCATGTGATGTTATTGAATCAAAATTTCCTAATCACTATTCATCTTTCAAATTAACTGTGGATCTAACAAATTTTGAAAAAGTTATGAACCCTGATTTGTGGCCACAGGGAGCGTACTTAAATAGGTTTTTTCACCCAAGGAAAAACATAAAACCAGTCATATAACAGTTAGTCAATTCAACAAACTAAATATTTATTACCAAAATGTCAGAGGTCTTAGAACAAAACTTGTGAATCTTGAAAAATCAATTTCTCTCACTAACTATGACATAATTTGTTTTTCTGAAACCTGGCTAAACGATGATATTTCAACTAATGAACTTCAATTAAATGCATATACTGTGTACAGATTGGACAGAAACCCCCTTACTAGCAATTTCAAGCGTGGTGGTGGCGTACTTATTGCAGTGAAAAGGTCTTTGATATCAAGTATTATTCCCGATGTTAACAATTGTGTTGAACATTTATTTGTAAAAGTAAAAATCAACAATAAAACTATTATAATAGGCACTGTCTACATTCCACCCAATGCATCCAATAATATCTACGAAGCCCATTGCTTAAGTATCGAATCTATTAACAGCATTCTTGATGAAGATGTTACAACAGTACTCTGCGGTGATTATAATTTACCAAATATAAACTGGGTAAATTGTGACTTAGGTGCTAGTGCTACTGGTGAAAATATCCCAATTAATGGACAAATAGTGTCGGATTGTGTTGCTCATTGCAATTATTATCAAGTGAATACAGTAACCAACTCCTTTAATAAAATTTTAGATCTAGTTTTTTCAAGCAATATTAGTGTCGTTACCGAGATAGCTAATGATACACCTTGTGATGCATATCATCCGGCTCTTTATATTAGACTTAACATACCAAAAAAACATGACGAAATGAAGTTAGAGCACTTTTACTTTGATTTCAAAAATGCCGATTTTTATTCGCTAAATAATCATTTAAGTTTTGTAGATTGGAACTTAGTTTTTTCAAGTAACGATATTAATATTTGTTTATCATCATTTTATGAGATTTTGTATTATTTTTTTGAATTGTATGTTCCTATGAAAAAATGTGTTAAATCTAAATTTCCAATTTGGTTCTCATCCGAACTAAAAAGTAAAATATTTGATAAAAAAATTGCCCACAAAACTTATAAACAATGTCCTACTCAGGGTAATTATTTAAAATTTCACGACCTAAGAAATGTCTGTACTAAATTATCCAATGATTGTTATAAAAATTACATTGAAACATTAGAACATAATATAAATGATAACCCTAAATATTTTTGGAAATATGTTAATAGCAAAAAATCTAGCAACACATTACCAAGTAAAATGTTTTACAATAATCTAGAATCTGAAGATCCTATAGAGATTGCAAATTTTTTTGCTGATCAATTTTCCTCTGTTTTTACAAATAATGGTGATATAAATATACCAGATTTTTGTTACAGTAACACAGTTGATATTAGCAATTGTTTGTTAAGTGAGTGTGATGTTTTTGGTGAACTCAGTAAGCTGAATATTTATAAGGGTTCAGGACCAGACAATGTATCCCCTCTGATCTTAAGGCACTGTAGATTTTCCCTTGCAAAACCATTGACTATGTTGTTTAACTTATCTTTAGATAACTGTGTTTATCCGGAGTTATGGAAAACCAGCTTTATTTTACCATTATTTAAAAGCGGTGACAAAAGCCAAGTTATTAACTATAGACCAATATGCAAAATATCTCATATTCCCAAGCTAATGGAAAAAATATTAACTTGTAAAATAACACCCCTTTTTAAGAATATTATTATCGAGCAACAACATGGTTTTTGTAAGGGAAGATCTACAGCTACTAACCTAATGGTCTATCAACAGGCTTTGTTGAGTGCCTTGGAAAGTCACACTCAGATGGATGCCATCTATACAGATTTTTCCAAGGCATTTGATAAGGTTGAACATCAACTTTTGCTGGCAAAACTAAAAGCTTTGGGTGTGGATGGTAAACTTCACGCCTGGTTAAAAAGTTATTTAAACTCTAGAACACAAATAATTCTTTTAAATAATCAGTTTAAATCTAAGGTTATTTCTGTCACATCTGGAGTTCCCCAAGGTGGACATCTCTCTCCCTTACTTTTTAATTGTTTTATAAACGATATACTTTTTAATATTAAATTTAGTAACTGCCTCTTATTCGCTGATGATTTAAAATTATACAAGGAAGTAAAATCAATTGATGACTGTTTCTTAATTCAAGATGATTTGCACAGCTTGGAACGATGGTGTGATATTAACTATATGGAACTTAATGTAGCTAAATGCAAAGTTATCAACTTTTGTAGATCTAAAAAATGTATTAAATTTCCATATAGTTTAAAAAATTTTACCCTTGATAATGTGTTGCTCATTAAGGACTTGGGTGTGTATTTTGATTCAAAAGTATCTTTTAATCAGCATATAAATTTGACTGCAAATAGAGCCTTAAAAACTTTAGGTTTCATAAGCAGAAATATGAAAAAATTCAATGTTACCTGTATAAAATATGTGTATATGTCATTTGTCCGAAGTGTCCTTGAATATTGTTGTGTCATATGGACCCCATATTACGCATGCCATAGTAATTTAATTGAGAGAGTTCAAAACAAGTTTCTTCGTCATTGTGCTTTCAGACTCAATATTCCTACTGAGGAAATAGTGTATTTTCAGATAAGGCACTTATTGGGTCTAGATCCATTGTCCGTCAGGAGGGAAAAAGCCCAACTAGTGTTTTTATATAAACTCCTCAATAATTCTATAAACTGTAGTGCATTGCTAAGCAGAATTAACTTCCATGTACCTATACGGCATACTAGACAATACAGTTTATTCTATATAAAAACCCATAATAGCAACTATGGGCAATCCATGCCTATTGATAGAGTGTGTGCAGTGGCGAATAAGTATGTTGTGGATCTCTTCTGTAACTCTCTAACCAAGTTTAAAAGTAATGTCAACAATTTGTTTAGTAGTAATTATATGTAATTTTTGTAATTAAAATTGAACCCATATTTTGTAATGGTTTAACCGTAAATAAAGATATTATTATTATTATTATTATTATACTTTATCCACTACAAACACAGAGAACAATTTAAAGCCAATTTAACCCAATATAACCTTACTTTTTCCCGATTTATAATAAAGCTAACTTCAGCCCGTGACTAAAAAGATCGAAAACCATTGTTTGCTAATTTTAGCCCGTGACTAAAACGACATTAAGTCATAGCTTGTCAATGTGAAAAATTTCAAATCATCTTATAATAGTTGATCCCAATAACTTTAATATTAACTTGACGTAAATAAGGATTTTTCTTTAGATTGATATACTTGGCTTAAAAAAGTTAAGGTAAATTATAGAAGTGCGGTATGTCATAGGATGCTGTATTGTTTTGCTAATTAGTTATTGTGATGATTTATTATAAAATTATTGTAAAGTTGGTAACAAGTCCTAATTTACTTAATTATTTTACCGCTAAATTTTTGGTTATACGCCATTTTCATCCTGTCCTTAGATCTATAAATTTTATTATCATCCTCATGATTAATATTGGTCTTGTTAAGCAAAAATTTATCTGATAAAACAGGTAACCTACATACTTTAAATCATATTTTTATTCAAGGTGTTCCTAAACTTAGTTTCATAAATTTAGGAGCAGATTAAGTAAGTCAAAGTAAGACGAAAATATAAATAAATATTTTTCCTAATTAGGTATGTTTAAAAGATACAGGGTGATAAAGTGTTACTTATCATATCAGTTTTTTTAATATAATTTCCACTATGGTAGACTTGGAAAGGTGATATTTTGCGAACAGTTACTTACTACCAAAACACATATTCACACATAATTACAATTGTTCGAGTGAACGCAGTGTCGTAGAAACAGGGGTTGCTTAAGCTTATTGTCCCATACAATTTTTCGATTACTCAGTTCGGCTATTATTAGATTAATATTCGAGATTACAATAATTGTTATATCGCATTAAAGGACTAAACAAATTTTTTAATTGAAAAAACTACAATTTTTTTTTAATGTGACGGTCAGGGCAAAAAGTGTCGAGGCTCATGGAATGCCCTTTTTAGTTTTTTCAATTAAAAAATAAAATTTGTTATCATATACCTTTTAATCCTTTTAAATATTGCGATATAACAATTATTGTAATCTCGAATATATGGAAAACGATTTATTTTATCGAAGTTTGAGATGTACACCTTTTTAATGGTAGCCAAACTGTGTAATCGAAAAATTGTATCAAATGTTATAAAAACCTAACCTCAAAGTTTGTATGGGACAATAAGCTTAAAGCAGCCCCCGTTTCTACGACACTGTGTTCACTCAAACAATTGTGTCTTGGAAGCATAAGTAATTAGGAAAAATATTTATTTAGGTTTTCGTCTTATTTTGACTTGCTCAATCTTTTTCTAAATTTATGCCAATAAGTTTAGGGACACCTTGTATATTCCCCTGAATTAATTCAATACAGATTTTGGATTTATTTACGTGGAAATCAGGAGTGTCACCAATATAAGGTAAAATTGTGTGTATGACAACAATAAAAAGAGTTATTGGATAAAACATTTTAAAAATCCCATGACAAGTTTTCCTAGGCAAAGGAATGCTTGCATATTACTAAATTAACTTAACTTTGTTGTACCCGTAAATAGAAAAATATTTTTACAAACAACTAAACAACTAAATTTTATTTTTTCCTCAAAATTATTTTTTTATTTCTCTTTTAACCCTGATGTATTAATATTTTGATTTAATATTGTCTTATATTATTCTTCTTACGAATAAATTTATTTAAAAAACACTCTAAAATTGCTTTAAATATTGATTCTTTCAAACGCACAAACTAAAACTAAAATCAATAAAACACCCCGTCCACTATACGATAGATGGCGCTCGTTTAAAAAGCTACCTACCATTTATCGGCGAAACAGGAGCTGTAGGTGGGGTTATTTTTCCTGCTTTTCCCAGCAAATAGTAGGTCATCAATTGTCCTTTTCCTTTTACCGCCACTAGGCCGCGCTGCTCGAACTGATACCCGAAACACTGCAGGATCTCGCAAGTTTCTTCAGTTACCTAACAAAGAAAATACTTAGTAAGCAAGTTTGTAATGGATCATAAAACTTTTTACTTTACGAAAATATATATTTTATTATTAAAATTTTCCGAATTTACTTTGATAATAAAGTTTTATGTGCATGAAAGTACCTTAATTAAATTTTAATAAACTAGGTTAACTTTATAGTGAAACTTTGTAATAGACCAGATAATTTAAGTTCTAAGAAAAGAATTTATATATTATTGTCAATGCAATAGTATTATTGTTTGGTTTAATAGTATAACCTGTAATGCACATCTATCGTTTTATACATCATCATGAGGTTCTTTAGTATTTTTCTTTTAAAAGCTCATATAGCTACGATAATATACAAAATGTATAATATACTTAGAAGACTATTTCATACTTGAATACATCCAGCTTTTCCAGTGCTCTCCATCCTGGAGGCGACATTAACAGTGTTTCCCCAAATGTCATAGTGGGGTTTCCTAGCACCAATAACACCTGCTGTGATTGGCCCATGGTTAATTCCCAATTTAAGCACAAAATGATTAAAGGATTGTTCGTTGATACTTTGAAGAGCCTTTTTGAGTTCCAATGCAAACTCTACTAAAAGAGCCAAGTGGGCCCATCGAACTGTTATTGGATCTTCAGGCTGAAAAAGTATGTTATTAGAGTGATTATAATAATTACACAAGTATACACGGTTTTGGACCTGAGCAACCAAAAGTTGTTTTTAAGGTAACTTGGGGCGCTGAATCCAAATCTTCACTCCGTTTTTTAAGATTGGCTCTAGTCTTCGAGATAGTAAATAAATTAAATTTGTACGAACTTTGGCAATTATATTTATTTAATGGCAATTAAAAGTAATAAATTAGAAATGAAGAGCCGTGGAACTAAGATTATAGTATTAAGAAGTTTGTTTTTAATAACTTAGGAAAATTCCCAACTAATAGTAATTTTCACTCATATTCCACAAGAAGTGGCTCAAGACTATGTGTACCGAGACACACAACTTCTTTGTTTAAAAAGTCACCCTATTTTTCTGGCATCAAAATTTTTAACAATTTGCCCAATTATATTAAGGAAACAAAAAATTATAATGTTTTTAAAACAAAACTGAAAGACTTTTTAATTGAGGAATGTCCTTATGAACTGAATAAGTTTTTAGAATAAATTTGTAGGTATCTCCGAGTATATTAAATATACTCGGAGATACCTACAAATTAATCTTTAATTGTAGTTCGTGTATTGTATTTCTGTGACTTGTCCTATACATATGAATGTTATCTTTGTCAATTGGATTAATAAAATTATTATTATTATTATTATTATTGTTTTGGATCCGTTTCACGCATTAGAGTCCAACAGTACTCGCTCATCATGCGTTCATCCCAAAATTCTTGGTACCTCCTTTCAATGTTTGCGAGATCTTGGTGTAGTTTTCAGGGAAAAAAATCGAGGTGGGAATGGAGGAAATGCATCTTGAGAGACATCCGAGAAAAGAGGTCCATGCTGCCGCCTCATTGGGCGTCAAACATTTTGTATAGTTTCCGTTAGTCATTAATTTTCGAATATCAGGTCCGACAAATATTCCTTCTTTGATTTTTGCGTACGACAAATTAGGAAACAACTTGATTAAGTACTGAAAAGCCTGCCCTTCACCTGCGAGAACTGAAAAACTAGAACCAATGTTGCCAAACGGATTTAAGATTCAAATTCAGCGCATCAAATAACGTCAAAAATCGTTGAAATCTGCTCGGGTCCAAAAGTCGACCGGAATTTGTAAACTTGTGTTATTAGAGTAAATAAAACTAAATTGTATACAAATCATAGTTTTTCTTTTAGCTTTAGTTAAAAATTTGGAAATCAATATTTTTATTTTCCTGTGTAAATTGTAAAAAAATTAAATCACAGTTTGCAAAAGTAAGTTTTCTTTTTAGTTGAATACAATTTATTAACAAGTCGACGACAAATTGAAAATATGTCGGTATTAAAGTTATTTCTAAAGACTTTTATAAAACTTTGTGTTACAAAGCATAAAGAAAAACTTCTTAAGATTTATAAAAGTTTAATCCCACTTTAATAACAATATTTTTTATCATTAAGTAAACATTTCTTAAACGGACCACCCGCATAATATCCTTGCGGATTTTCAAAGAAAAATTTTATTTGCAAATGTGTTTTTAATATCCAGATTTTTTTCAATTTAAAATTCGACTTATATCATATTTTTTTTATAAATTACACAATAGATAAAATTTTAACTTTTAAAATATCACAGCTTAACGCTCGGACACTTAATAGTATATTATGTATAAAGTTTGATAAACGCCAGCGAGTGCTTAATTAAATAAGTGCCTAGAGAAGTTAATAAACGAGTTGCATACCATATTTTTTATATGACAAATACTTAATAGCATCTAAAAAGTGATTAAAATTAAATATTTGTATCTATACGAACATAAAGTAACCATCCCAAAACATTTTTGACGTTATTTCCACCATTAACATCGCCCGTTGTTATTTTAATTAATCTTAAAAAAAAATTATATTAAAATATTATAATAACTTCAAAATATGATTATGTTAAGCAAATACGTTATCCTTTAATTTGTTTTATCCCTTTAGTCGCAAAATATTATAACAAAGTATTAAAAATTCACGTTAAAATTTAAAATTTGTCTGTGTAAATCAAAATTTATCCCTTGAAAATAGACTAACAATCGATATAAAGCAGTTTTATGGGCACTGTACGCAAAATTTGTAACTCTCTACCAGTTAAATCTAGTTAACTGCACTACTACGGCAAAATCAAAAGGTCAGTGCAAACGTTCATATAATGTTTTCAAAATAAACCTGTTATAAATCTGGACATAAAAATTAATAACATCTCTATAAAACAGGCACATACTATTAAATAGCTGGGACTTATAATAGATGAAAATCTTAGTTGGAAAAATCATGTTAAAAGCATAATAGATAAAATAGTTCCTATGATAGGTGCAATTAGAAGATGCTCAGGATATTTAAATAAAAATGCAAGAGATATCCTCTACAACAGTTTCATTATGCCACACCTACGATATTTAACACCGTGCTGGGGAAATGCTGCCGAATATGTATTGAATAAACTCCAACGAGTACAAAATAAGGCTGTGAAAACTATATATGGATAAAGCAAATATACCGCTACAGAGGAGGTCTATAAGCAAACAAAAATACTACAAATTAGGCAACTAATACAATTGGAACAAGCTAAACTAATTAACAACATCAAAAACAAGAGCATCAAAACAAACATCAATCTGGTACAAGGAAAACATGTGCATGAATATAATACAAGACAAAATAATGATTATAGAAACGAAAAAAGACGAACAAAAAAAACACAAGACTCTCCAGTATTTAGAAGTATCCAAACATACAATATGCTACCTGAAGACGTTACAAAAAACAAAAAAACTGTGATAATGTGCAAAAAACTACAAAACTATTTATTTAATTGTGATATTATTCCTTAATCCTATTTAATTTTTATTTTGCTTTACATTAATTATATCTATTTATAGACAAACATATTTTTATACTAACAAAACTTATTTAACATATTACATTGTAAAACTTTTGTAGGCCCTGTTATCAATATGGCTATACTGTTTTGGGGTCAGAAATAAATAAAAAAAAAAAAAATATTGGCGTCAGAAAACTATTTAATACTTTTGTATTTTTGTATTGATATACTAAAATAATTTTCACATTTAGTATTATTTTACAAGAAAGGCACTCTATTTTAACGATTGTATGACATTTGACAGCTGTCAACTAACTTAAAACTAACTTCAGCCCGTGACTAAAGCACCATAAAGCCACAACTTGTCAATGTGTATTTAAAGGGTCACTTAGTGTCATGGAAACATGTACGATAAAGGGCGTTTTAAAGGTAAGAATAGAAAAACATAATTATTGGTCGTAGAAACAAGTTTTTCCTTTTATTAATCCGATTTAGGGACACACTGGTATTATACATTATAATTTATAAAATAAAATATTTCACCTCATGTGCCAATATTCCCATGCTTTTTATTTCGTTTAATATAATATAATATCCTTAATTATTATAAAAGTATAATACTTCATTAAAAAAAAATCAGCAAATAAACACCTTCAATTAATTTAATTATAAAAAAACCCTCAGGGGTTTAACCGATGTGGGGGCCAGCCCAGTTTAGTTTTTTTTTAAATTTATACCGGGTGATTCTTCATGGGATGCTCCAAAACTTAAAGATTAAATATCTTTGATTTTTTCCTATGCCGGTTTAGCGGATTTGTAATCTACCACCAAAAATTAATTTTCATGTACGAGCGTTAAGCTGTGATATTTTGACCTTTTTGCAGTGTTATTTATAAATAAACAACCATAATTTTACCATCCTTTTTCCTAAATTCTGTATAGGTTTATGATTGTTACACTGTTCAAAATTTCATGACCATTTTAACACCAAATTAACACCATTCATGGTCTATATCAATAAAAACCAAAATGGTGTTAAATATGGTTCGTTGGTCCGGTGTAAATTCAAATACTAAAATAGTGTAAATTTAACTTTCACACAGTATTAACATAAATTTTTCCTGGTGTAAATTGAACTCCTTTTCAGTGTTAAATATTATAAGTTTTTGGTCAAATTAAATCATGCTACACAGAAAAAACAAAAGAAAAAAAAAGGACACAGAAAGTTCCTTGACGCATTACTAGTATATTACCAGTGGTATTATTCCAGAAAATTGAACCTTCAACTCGCTAGAGATAATGTTTTTAGTGCGTTCCACCAACTTAAAATACTCATTATATTAATAAAAAATAAAAAATAAAATAGTCAAAATTCTACTATTTGAATTAGTACCAGCATTTTTTACTAATAAAATAGTCGTTTTCACTTTTAAATAGTTATTTTTTACTATTAAAATAGTTAAAGTTTGACTAATTTAAGATTAGTCACCATATTTGACTATTTCTGACAGTTAAAAGTAGGTAACTAATTTCTTTAATCGTTTACGGCCAACAACAAAGTATTATTTGAATTAAATGCATATACCTCTCCATGGTTAAATGCCATAAAACAAATAAAGATGCAAAAAGTTTAGCTCAAAACAACAACACAAATAATATATTAAACTTTAAAATATTATGAACAATATTTATTGACAAATAAAATTGATTTTTATAAGAGCAGCTGACAGCCGAATGCGTTATGAGGTTAGCTTGACAAACTTGTCAAGTGACAGACCTGAGTTCAATCCCAGGATGGGTCAAAACTTTTTTTAAATTTAAATTTACTAATTTGACTATTTCATTCAGTGGAATTTTACTAATTATTAGTGACTGCTTTTTCGCTATGACAATTAGTCAAATATGACTTATAATTAGTTATTTTTGACTAATTCATTTTAAGAGAGTTGACAGGTGTTTCCACCTATTTAAGGTCCCTTTAGTATCGAACAACTTGTAGTGTTACACCAAAGCAAATGACTACCTGAACTTATATACTCTTTATTTAAGTCAACAGAGGCAAAATTTAACGTGGCCAGGAATGCAGGGCAAATTGTTTTAATCGTTTTAACAGATTGCTTTAAGTTAAAGTAACTCTTATTTTACAAACAACATATTTAGTAAACTGAAACATACAGCGGGCTGGTTTCACTAAAGTTTTCTGGGTTAATTTAATCAATTAAAAAAAAAATACCTATCTGGTTTAGTACCGTCAAACTAATCTTTGTTTATATTAACCTTCCCACAGTTGATTTAAATAAATACTTATGGGTCAACTAAATTAATGTAGTTAAATGAACTATTCCTTTTTTTCTGTGTAGGTGCACTTCAAATATTTTTAGATAAACACCGTTTTGGTGTTTGATGTATATAACATTTTCAACCATAATTCATGGTATTTATATTAACATCACTTGGTGTTGGATTTTGAGTGCATTTTAAGATTACTCTTTACACCACAGATATTTTAAACAGTGTATAATATAAACCTAAGACTATATAAAATTGGCATACATGATACACAGTTTTAACCCTAGTATTATTAAAAAAATATTATAAAAATATGTTTTTATAAAAAAACGAGTAATGTTTTATAAAAAAAACTTTGAAACCTGGACTTAAAATTTTATAAACACAAATTTACTTATAAATTTTACTGTTAAAACATTAAAAATAAAATTATAGATATATAAAATAAAATTATTAAAAAGCATTAATTTTTTATTTTAGGTAAGATTTAGGAACTATTTAATAAAATAAAAAATAAAGAATAAAGAATAATTTCACTAATAGTTTTTTAACGGCCGATTCTATTAATCAAATTTTAGTTTAGTATTTTTTTAATTCATTAATATTTCATAAATATTATAAAATATATTTTCTTATTATTAAATAATTAAATACAAAGTTGCTAAAATACTTCTTTTATGTCATAAGCATTGCTTATGGTGATACAAGACTTTGTGTTAACCTAAATTATTACCTGGGTAAATACGGAAAGGAAATTTTCTTCTTACCTTGACTTGCCGAGTGGGGTTTAAACCGCTGGCGGCCATGTACGTCGATCCGATTGTCTTTATCTTTATTACATCTTGGAACTGAGGCCATTCGAGAAGCTATAAGAGACAAAAAATTTTTACTATCAGCAGTAAAAAACGTCAACATATATTATATTATATATAACTGACCCTTTGTTTCACCTGGCTTTGAGACTTTGCCAATATTTTTAAATAAAGGGGGTTTTATTAAAAAATACTTACAGCATCAAAGTCTGAAATAACTTCGTTCAGAAATCTTAGGCATTCTAGTCCTTGATTGTTCACGGTTTCTTCTGAATAAAAGTCTGAAATATAAAAAAGTCTTAAAACAGGTAAAAGATTAAAAAACAAATCAATAGCTCAATAAACTGATTTTATTATAATTGATTGCTAATAGATTTTAAAAAGGACTGTTCGAAACCAATTTAAATTGTTTAAATATCATTTTCATATACAGGTTATACAATATTAGTTGAAAATGCATTTTGCCCACAATTTTTTAGTTACATATTCCTGTATGAGCAGGATGAAGTTAAAAAAACTTGTAACATTAATGAAATGGTAGTAATTATAGCAAGCAATATTATGCACATAAAAGATAATTTCCAATAGTTTATTGAGTGTATTATTGTTCTAGCATAAATGGTTACTGTTTTATTTTCTTCGTGTATGTTACTCTCCGCTACATATACTATCTCTGAAAAAAATCACGTCGATCCTTTGCTTCGTTGTTGCCTGAAAGGCAATATGTCATATATGTCTTATGTCATATGTCATATGTCATAAATATATATATATATATATGTCAGGATTGAATTAACCATTCACACTCCTATTAAAGGCGTGACGTCACTAAACGAAGTACCGAAAAAATGACAAACAAATCATATTAACGTTACAGAACAAACTTTTTTGTCGGCTCCTCCAAAAATATGGTTTTAAAGTGCGAAACGTGAAGATGTGATTAGTTCATGAAATGTTTGTTGTGAAAATTATTTTATTAACAACAACTTTCATGAATAAATTAATTATTAAACGTTTCCAATATTATAGATTTTTATGCATTTATTGAAATTATCTGTTTTTTTTTTTCATGCATTTATGACAACCTAAAACCTAAAACTATATATATATCATCTAAATAAAATACATTTATCAGAAAATAAATTAATACTTTAACATGCTGAATCTACTTTGATAATCCAATTTTGTTTAGCATTTTTGACACAAACAAAATTGATTGATGGCTAAAGTATTTAATTTTTTATTTAAATGAATTTTAAACATCGTCACCCTAATAAAATAAGGTTGTATGTTAAAAAACCGAAAAATTTGAGTTTATGCTTCTACAAACTTTTATGGAATCCACCCTTGACATACAACTTGAAAATAACTCTTTATATATATACATAAAATATATACATTCTATAGAATTATTTTTAAGTGGTATGTGAAGCATAGGCCACGTATAATCATGTAGAAACATAGACTTAAATTTTTAGTTTTTTAACATACAACCGTGTTATATTAGGGTGACGAATTGTTACGAAATGAATTTGACAATACCTTTATCAAAAAGTCAATTTTCAATGCATAGCGAGGCAAAAGTAGAATTATTTTTGGAACTCTGGGGAGAAAAAAGTAAAGACGTAGCGGGGAAAAAGTGAGGCGTAATTGGTCCAAAACCAAGTGCCCATTGCAGCCAATTTTAAGCGTCTAACCTAGAAAAATTACTCAGTTGTCAAAGATGGTGTCCCGTCAATTAATCGCGCGACATTTCATCGCGCGACAATTCATCGCCGACAATTCATCGCGCGACAATTTATCGCGCAATCTGATTAACTCTAAGTGCTAAAATGAAATTTGCAATTTCTCCATTCCAATAATAATTATTAAGTGTTTCAATATTTGTAATTAACATTAAAATTACAAATAGTGTTTTTAAAAGTTATAATTTAACTAATTTTCAAGGTAAAATGTTTAAAAAATAATTTAAAGTATTTATTGCCTTTCTAAAAGGGGATTTAATCGAGTTTCCCAATGCCCAAATACGTGGATGTTTTTTTCCATTTTAGTCAGTGTTTATAGAGAAAAATACAAAGCTGTGGGTTCCAAAAACGATATTCAGAAGACAGCGACTTCGCATTGCACCTGCGCCTTTTAGCAGCCCTTGCATATGTCCCTGAAAATGATGTGAAACAGGCATTTATAGCATTTTTGGATAACGAATTTTTCACAGTGAATGGGGATCTTCTAGCTGAAATTGTAAATTATTATGAAGACACCTGGAGAGGTAAAAGACAACAGCCAAAATTTCCCATTCACATATGGAATTGCTATACCTCAGCGAAAGATGGGACTCCGAAAACCAACAATGGAGTTAACACAATAGTTTTAGTTCCATCGTGTCTACTGCACATCCCAATATTTGGAGGTTAATGAGTTCACTTAAAAAGGAGAAAAGCCTTAATCAATTGAAAATTGAACAACTCATTGCTGGTATTGAGAGACCCCAAACAAAAGTATATAAAGATTCAGCTAAACGTCTACAACGTATAACGGAGAACTACGATCTTAATAACTTTATGATTATCTAAAAGAAATTGCCTACAATTTTAAGTTACAAATGTAATATTGTATATAATAAAATAAATTTTAAAAATATTTATGGTATATAATTTTAAACGCGATAAATTGTCGCGCGATAAATTGTCGCCGCGATGAATTGTCGGCGATGAATTGTCGCACGATGAATTGTCGTGCGATGAATTAACGCTAATTCGTCAAAAATGTATCATTAGTTGTTTCAATTTGTGTATTCTATATCTTTCGATAAAGGTATTGTGAAAATCAGCGCCATAAAGCAAAAATACACCCCTCTTGGTCTTTTTTGCAAAAAATAACTTTAAACTGATTCTAAACAAACATTATTGAAAAAACTGACCAAATTTTTGCACGAATAGTTTTGAACTCATAAGAAAAGCCCTGCGAAAAAAGGTCTTATTTTTTTTGGATTGAATTTATTTAGAAAACATAGAAGTTTTGTAGTATTAAGTATTGTTTCCTAGGATTTATGTTATTGGGTTTTTAAAGCTGCGTTTGTAAACTGTTAAAATTGTTTATCTTGTATAAACCCACAAAATCAATATCCACTTTTTCGTAGTACCAAACCATACACTAAAAATTTTTTCAAGGGGGTTAATATAGTTCTTTAAATTATGCACGACATACATAACTTCTAAACAGTATATTGTGGAAAAAAAAGATAACTTGTTGATTGTTTCGACCTTTACTTGATGAAACTCCATATTATTAATATATGAATAAAAACAACACTGTTTTAAAGTTTCACTAATTTATTTATGTTTTTAATAATTAACACCCAGTTATTAAAAACGACATCATAAACACACTAGAAACTTGTTTAAAACAAAATTACTTTCAATTCAATAATAAAATATATACGAGTCATAATGGCCTAATCATGGGTAATCCTCTTAGCCCATTGTTAGCGGATATCTTTGTGAACCAATTGGAGATAATTATACACAAACATCCATATATTAATCATATCCTATATTGGTACCGATATGTAGACGATATCCTAACGTGTTTCACAGGTACAAAACGACAACTAAACATTTTCTTGAATTTTATAAATAACTTACACCCGAAAATTAAATTCACAATGGAAGAAGAAATAAATAACTCTATTAATTATTTAGATCTAACAATTCAAAAAAATAATAGACACCACACATTCAAAATTTTTCACAAACCCAGCTACACTGATATAGTTATACATAAAAGCTCTTCTCACCCCTTTTCACACAAAATAGCCGCATTTAACTCTATGGTCCACAGACTCTTAAACGTTCCATTATCAGAAAAAGATTATAATTACGAATTAAACTTAATTAAACAAATAGCAGTTAACAACGGCTATGATGCACAACTAATTAATAAAATCTTAAACCACAAAAAAGAGAAAATAGCCATTAACAACGTTTTTCCAATATCTAAGATTACCATGAATACATACAATAGTTGTACATATCTAGGTGCTAAGATGAGACATGTATCTAATTTCTTTAATAAAATCAATAGTAATTTAGCATTTAAAACCAACAACAATCTTAGTAAGTTTATCAAAAACAACAAAGATAAAACATCAAAATCTTCAAAATCTGGCGTTTACCAACTAAATTGCAGAGACTGTCCGAAAACATATATAGGCCAAACGGGTAGAAATTTTAATACACGAATTAAAGAACACAAGTTATCCTATATAAACCTTAAACAGGATTCTTCATACGCTAACCATTTAATACAAGAGAACCACACATTTGATGATAACTTTAAAATATTACATGTAGCCAATAAAGGTACCAAACTAAATCTTTTAGAGTCTTTGGAAATTAATAAATTAAAGAAAAAATCTGATATTGTTCTTAATGACCAAATTGAAACTAACAGCTCTCCTTTGCTAAATTTATTTTAGAGTGTGTACTTGTAGTACTAAAAAGTAATATTTATTAATATTATATTAGATAGGATTTCCCAAACCCTCAGTTTTTCCAAAATTATGTAATTATATAAATTTTACCTTCAGGTACAATGTTTATATAACATTTATCTTCTCAAATTACCTGCCTGTTGTTAATATAAATACCGCCACTTGTTAAAATAAGTACTAATTCTGAAGAAGCTACAGTGTAGCGAAACAATTGTTAATTATTAAAAACATAAATAAATTAGTGAAACTTTAAAACAGTGTTGTTTTTATTCATATATTAAAAAAAGATAATATGAATTTTGTTTGATTTTTCGAGATAAAGTTGTTTATTACAGTGCTGCGTTAAAAAAAATTCGAGGTCAAAAAGCGATAAAACACTATTTTTGCATACTAAGCGCCACCTATTTTTTAAGCACCGACCCAATTTACAATTTACAGTTTACCATGGTCAATTTTACCCGAAATATTGACTGCTGAAAACAAATATAACAAAAATGTAATCTATAGCTATAGCAGAAATGTTTTTTACATACCATATATGTAAAAAAACATTTCTGGATGATGAGTTAAGTAAGTTAACTTTTAGTGAATTTTTAATAAGGTTTTGCAAAAAATTCACACAACGTCTATTTTAATTTGTTGGAAAGTTTAATCAGCCATATCTGTGACAATCGATTGGATATGGTAAACTGAATAGTAATGGAATCCTCCAACATATAACTCTGAAACATTGTTTTAAAACATTTTGTTTTGTTAATAGAATGACAAAACTGAACCAATTACCATAAAACATGCAAACAAACAAAAACTCATGATGACCATCCCTTGATAAATTTTAACATGTCCAATCAATACCAAAGCAAAATACCACTGAAATTCCCGATGCTGAATTATGTGCATAAATGCTGTAAATTTAATTAAACATTATCGATTGAATAACTTTATGAATAGTTCACACATTTTTAACTTTAATGAAAAATGATGATAGGGTATGTAGGTAATTATATTTAAAGTACATACATTTTAAATAAGTAAATTTTTACCTGAAAAATTAGGCATGGATGCAAACAGAACTCCAACTTCTGCGTAACTTTGGGAGTACAATTCGTCATGATTTCTATTTTTGTTGCCCATAAAGTGAGCGGCAACGTGCGGGGGCAGAATATTGTAGACTAATGCTTCGTTTCTTCTTCGCATATCTTCAGCGCAGTCTCTTTGCTCCTCCACTTCAGATCTCCATAGGAAAAGTACTCTAGCCACCTGCTCCATCTATAAAAAAGCTATGTAGCTTTGTTTTGTAAACAATGTGCTTTTTAATATAAAAAGACATATTATATGTTTTTTTTAAATTACTTTATATTTAAAAAATTTGGGATACCTCACCCTAATACAACCCAGAACGGTCGTATTTAAACTTACGTTACTTTGTATCAAACGTAGAGCTCTTGTATACCAAAAGAATTAGTAAATTTTAAGTTAAGCCTTTTGCACCCTGTATATGGTCAAATTAAGAGTTAACCTACAATTATTTTTTCTGAGCAATTATGTTTTATCATAATATTTTTTAGGGTAATATGTATATGTCCGCGATTAAGTACAGGGTTAATTAATAAGAAAAAACTTTGAAATGCTTCAAGAAAAGTATTATTATTTATTCTTTTTTACAAAAAAATTTATGAAATAAAGTTGTTTATAAACTAACACAAAGTTTAAATACAAATTTTTAAATATAAGTTTTAATATTTACAATTATTTATTTTGTCAATATAACGTTAACATCTAATTTATTAGTATTTCGATTACGTGAAGGCTCTTTTTTACTTAACATTTTTACAATGACATTAAAACCGGAAATAAACGAGAGCAAAAAGCAATACATAAACTGAATAAGCCGAAAATTATTCGTAGTGAACGGCATAAGTTACGTGGGAGGTTATGTTAAATATTTATAAATATTGGAATTTTTATTTTAAATTTTTTTCTTATTTGTTAGTTATTATAAAATTTTTCTTATTTTTAATATATTTTCTTAATAAGGGGCAATTCCACGCTTAACGGATAGGACAGTTGCCGTGTTTTTATTTACAAAATAATATTGTTCTATTATAGTCCTTCGGAGGGGACTTTAAGCCGTCGGTCCGTTCCTACCCCTAACCCGCACAAGCCATTCAGTTGGCTTATGGGACATCTTAGTTTGGATGTAAGGGTGGAACTAAAAGAGCACTTTATAACTTTATAACTTTATTACCAATGTCAAATTTTTATAAATAGTTCTAAACAAAAGCTTTTTAACAAGGTTTTTATTTGGCAAAATTAGGTATCGTGATTGACTGTTTAATTCCTTAAAAATTAATAATTTAATTATAACGGACGGGACTATTACAAAGTCCCGTCCGTTACGCTTTAAATTATTAGTTTTTAAGGAATTAAACAGTCAACCACGATACCTAATTTTGCGAAATAAAAACCTTGTTAAACAGCTTTAGTTTAGAACAATTTATAAAAATTTGACATTGGTAATATAATAGAACAATATTATTTTGTAAATAAAAACACGGCAAATGTCCTATCCGTTACGCGTGGAATGGCTCTAAGCAGGACTTTTTATAAAGAAATGCTTTTTGACGTTAAATTAAAAATAATAGTATACACAGAAAAAAATCTAACATAGTACCAAGAACAGCTCTGTCATTGAATGCATTAAAATTGAAGCAATCTAAATTGTTATTTTCTCAATTAATTACTATTAAACCAAAATAGGGAAATATTTTGCCCAAATGTCAAAGAATTTATTGCGTTAAATGTATACATAGTATACATACAATAGTAACGTTATTAAATAAATCAAATTAGAATTTAATGCAATAACATTCTACCATTCTAACAAATAAATATCAATATTAATATCAATAGATTTAGGAGCGATTACTTTTGTTGTTAATTTAAAAACAGGAAACGATTATAAACCAAGTGCTAACTACCTATTGGTATTATAGGAACTGTTATTCAGGAATACGGATTACAAGATCCCATTGGTTTAATGGCACACCCATTCATGCTAGGCTAGCGTTTTTTCTGTGTATTATTATACGAGAGATGAGATACTCAAATCATCCAAATGAATAAAGCGCATAATTTCGAGTTTAATACTAAATGTACTTTATCTACTTCAATAAGTAGATAATTAAATGTTTTTAAAAAATAAATAAAATCTGACATTTGTTAAATGGGTAACTTTACTTTTTACCAATTTTTTAATGTTATTATAGTCGCCTTTCATAAAAACCGATTGGTTCAAATCACAGTGAATATTGAAATCGGCCAATCAATCGGCCAATAAAAACCGATTGGTTCAAATCACAGTGAATATTGAAATAGGCCAATCACTGATGTCTAACGATGTGAATAATGAGTTTATTATTCACGTTGTTAGGAAGGAAATTTATAATGTTTATCAATATTCACGAAAACAAAAACAAAATTATACAATAGGAGTAGATAAAGATTTTTTCCTATTGTGTATTCCATATGCGGAAACACTGTATATTAAGCCAAAATTATTAATTTTTTGTCATAATTCTTAAAAATATTATAAACTTTGTAAAAATTATCCAAATAGGAATTTTTTTTCGAAATTCTTTAAATTTTTTTTTGCGACATAAAATAATTTATCGTAATTTTAATAATAATTATAATAAACTACTTTTCCTTTTTTAATTGATTTTTCTTCAATTTTTAAAATGTAACTTGTTCTGTCTTATTTCTTTAAATTTTTTAAAGAATATTGATTAAATTTAATAAACTAAAAAAAACTACGACTAAAAGGCCCAAAAATAAAACTGTAATATACATTATGGGACATTTCATTACATATTTAATTAGTGATAAAAATCCAATTTTGACTTTGTAATTAAGCTTTATTAGGGTAAGATATCGATTTTACATTTAAAAACCGATTTGTTTTAATGAATTGATCGCTGCTTGTATTTAGTCAAAGCTTACTTACATCTAAACTATACACACAGCTAACTTATAATTATTATCAAATGGTTAATGTAAATATAAAACAACGCAGTCGACTAGAAAACATCTTAATGTAACTTCTTTTAAACGTCCTTTATACAAGGCTACCCTCGTTTAAATCTATATTCCGTTTTACGTTCTTTAGAATAAAACGAAAGCAAGTCGTGTAAATGCACTATATTTGCATTTTAAAATTCAGTTCTCGGTCAAGTACGAGGGTGGTTCAAATATAAACCGGAATTTTGCTATAAAATTTTTTATTATTAAGTTACAGAGCTGAAATTTTTTACAATTTTTCTAGATAGTCTCCGTCACACTCTACACACTTTTGCCACCTCTCCGGAAGCTTTCGGATGCCTTGTTCGTAAAAATCTCTCGGCTTGTCACGTAACCATTCGCGCACGAAGGATTCTACCTCCGCATTTCTTTCGAATCGCAGTCCGCCAAGTGCCTCTTTCAATGGACCGAACAAATACTAGTCGCATGGCGACAAATCGGGACTATAAGAAGGGTGTTCCAGTGTTTCCCAATCCAATTCGTTCAATGTTTTCATCAAACTTCCCAGCGTGTGAATTTCTGCTCAAAATTCAGAAGTCTTGGCACCCATCTGGCTGAAATTTTGCGGTAACCGATCCGTTTATGAATTATTTGCTTAATACTACCTACGCTGATGCCCAATTCTTCAGCCATGTCGCGTACAGTACTGCGTCGGTCTTCCAAAATGAGTTTTTCTACAGCGCTGACGTTCTCATCTGTAACACTTGTTTTGGAGCGCCGCGCATATGGCAAGTGCCACCACTTCTCGGCCTTTTCGGAAAGCGGAACACCATTCATACACTTGAGTCTTGGAGAGGCACTCATCCCTGAACTGCTCAAGTAATTTTTGATAAAATTTTCGCGGATTTTACATTATCTTTGACCAAAATACGAATAATGATGCGTTGCGCAACAGACACTGGTACATCCTTCTCGCTCATGGCTATAACTACACTGAAAAGCGAGGTTACGGAGTCCCGGCTGTTCTCTACGCTTCGTAACAGACCAGTCTAACATCCAGTGCAGACACTTTTACGACACTAAATTTTTCGCCCGTTTATTCAAAAATTCCGGTTTATATTTGAACCACCCTCGTATTTTGCTCAATAGTTTTTTGTCTATACTTACGTGTCTTGCCAGGAACGCCAAAGCCAATGTGGCAGTCAACAGTAGGCCTGATAGGGTGTATTTACCTTTTGTTAGGCTAAAAAGAGAAAACACCATTAATAAAGGATCAAATATTTATAGAGGGTGTATGGAGGTACGTCAACAATGCCTAAATAAATTAAAATTAAATTAAAAAAGTAAATTTGTTTTTGATTGTAAAGATCTTTTTATAAATAGAGCAACAAAAATGTACCAGCCTTTTTAAAGATTAAGAGACTAATAATAAATTCTATCACTATCAAATAACTAGAAAACATGGTGTGTTGTTAGTTTAGATATTTTATACTCGTATATATTTATATGCAATAAAACTGTACAAATATAATTTGAGGAATGAGTTTGAATAGAATAGACTTAATGTAGTTAAAATATCAACAAACTTTAGAACGTGCTACTAAATCCCAACTATTTATAAACATGAGCTCAACTTACAAATTACTATAATTTGGAACCACAAATTGATAAGTCAACATATTAACCAACTTTAAATAGTAATTTGTCGACTAAAAGCTAAGTTTTGACCAGGGTCATCAGTTCCTCTGCTGGTAATTAAGGTGTCTTTGTTAATGCAAATCAGGTTCATTGAGTATCAAAGTCCAAGACATTTCAACCCTTTGTCTCTAGGCTTTGGTTTCTCTGAGCAATTACTATCTTAGCCTTTATGCCAATCGGTCAAATTTACATCCTTATAATTTAGTGATTCGTGAAGCGAATATATGGCAATAAACACCACAAGTTTATAATTAATGCTATACTAGATATTTATTATATGTGTGAAATAAGAAGTAAATAAAACACGCTGAAATGTTTGTTATTGCTTGTTAATCCGCAAGTACAATGCAACGTTTTATCGACAATTTAAATATTACTAGGGGATTAATTATGTAGATCACTACCACAGAATTGTAATATTGCGGAAAACATTGTATGTCAACACATTATTACTATAGGGTAGAGTGGGGGAATGGCGACCACCTAAGCGAGATTGGTTATAAAATGAATTGTAGGTAATATTAAATTTTTGTAAAATATTTATGTAATAGGGTAGATTATATGCAATATAAACTATAACATGCATTTGGTCGTGATTTCCCATGTATCATGTAATCACGATCAACAAGATTTAGGTTTATACAAATTTTATCAGGGTAAGTACAAATAAATTATAGTAAAAAAATTTATAAACATTAAAAATAAAAGAAGTTATTTGTCAGCTTACTGTATTTATTCAGTGTTTGTTGTTGTTTATGTAAACATTTCAAACGGATATTGCTTGTTAAGTTTAAAAGAAACATAGTTTCAGATTTTTAAAAATAAAATATAACTAATACCTAAACCAAAATGTCCATATGGAAGAAGTCAAAAAAGATTTTAATTCTAATGATATAACCAAAGAAGGTAACGTTAGCAATAACAGAGGATGTGCTGCTGGCATATTTCGTTATTATAATAAATGCGTCATTTTCTTTGTATATTGTGGACAAAATATGCGCAACCTGTTGTTATCAACACCTTGTTAAAAATTCCATAAATAGTGTTTTTTCTTAAAACTACCAAATGTACATAGAATCCCCCACTATTGGCTAATGCAGGGGGTGATATTTCTACCATCAACTGCCAGGGCGAGTAGAAGTACACCACCGTATCAGAGGGCATATTTAGGACTATTATTAGACTAGGCCAATAGGGTGTTCAAATTTAATACTAATGTAAATTTAAATCAAAATAAATAGTGAAACCTGACCACAGACAAAATAGACTTGCCCTGTTCAGTATCGCTAACATGAAACCAGCGTGCCATAAATCGGGGAAGGGGGGCAAGGGAATGTATACATTATATTATATATTATATAAGAGAAGATATGTATTCTGCCAGGCCCGTATTAAATAATTTCGTACGAGCGGTATCTTTTTAAAAAGTATTAAATTTATTTTGTTTTACATTTATATATTTGTAAGTACATAAATTCGTTATAGATTTTAAACACGAAAAAACGTAAAAATAATTAAATAAATTATGTATTTAAACAAATTTTAATGTAATCTTTAATAAAAAAAAATAAAAAAAATAGAATAAATTATAAATTCTCTAATCAAAAAAAGGCAAATTAAGCTCTTAAAATAAAAAAAAATTAAAATTCTGAAAATTTTAAAATAAAAAACTGAACAAAACAGACCAATTTCGCTAAAAAGTCAGAATAAATAACTCCAAATGAAATAAATTTCCACTAAAAGTGAAAAAAGTATTATTTTAATATTATATTTTATTTAAAATATTCCTAGTGGATTATCAAAGAAATTCATCTACTTTTACGCTCCAGAATGAACGACGTACGGCTCTGTGCAAAGGAGAGAACAACACAACATCTGTGTGCGCACGCAAGGTATTGACATGCAAAATTAATAAAATCGCTTAAAATTTATCTCGTAATTACTACTTACTGGAAAAAATAAATTGGTTGGAATTGGCTGGAACTAGTTTCACTACGACTAGGACACACTTTGACAACACATTTACCCATAATGTTCAAAGAATTTTACATAAATAATATATCCTCACAGGTCAACTGCTCAAATATGAATGATGCGAACTGGAAAACAGGCACCCGTTCAGGCACCCGTCCGGCCGTATCATTTTCTCCCTAAGGCAAGTCTATTTTGTCTGTGAACCTGACTTTGTTCGTTTTTTTAATTATCATAAAACACTGGTGTGTTATAACATTTATGCTCTTGTAATATGTAAATTGTAGATAAAAAAAATTATTCTAGGGTGATATAAAGTTTCATAATGATACGTGGAAATCGTTGAACAATTTTTTCTTAATACGTTAATACTGATCAGTTTGTAGACCTGTATGCTTTGTAGAGTGTTTAAGAAATTATAAAAGAGCCCTCAAAATCTTTAACAACCTTTGATGATTGCTGATTAACTAGTGTTCAGACGATTTTGAAGTATAATTTGAATATGACTGTTAACTAAAATTGTTCCGAAAATGTTTAGCGACGAATCAAACGCTTTAAATTTATTGCTAAAAGTGGCGAGGTGATCGTCTATAAAAAATCAAAATCAGTGTATTAAAAAAAAATAACGCCAAATCGCACCTGTTCATCAGTTCACGATAACATTTTTACCAAATATTTGAAACAATCACTTTAAAAATCACACCTCTTATGGTTAATTTAGATGGTTAAATTTTGATGTAATGCTCTCTAAACATGAATTAGTCAAAAATGATTAAGTGTCGAAAAAGCAGACTAATTCTCGTCAATAGCAATTTATATACCGAACATTTAGCAGTCAATTTCCATGTAAAATTGTCCACTGAATCCGAAAATGTCGTCGAGAGAGATATAGTCAATTTTCCATATAATATGGAATTGACTATATCTGCTCCTCTTTCATAATTTTTGACGGTATTTTCGGATTCAGGGGACAATTTTATGGTAAACCATGGTGTAAGAGCCACTTATTACTGTAGTCATTTTTGACTAATTTATTAAGTAGGTTATTAAAAGCGGGGACGTAAATAGTAGATTATGTCATAAGGAGTAGAAGTGACTCTTTTTGTGCTTCGTACAGTTGCCTGCCTCAGCTACGCTTCGGCCGTCAATCTCTGTACTCACCACAAAAAGAGCTTCTACTCCAAATAACATATACTATTTTTTTTCAAGGGCGTAATATAAATATAATAAGCAAAATTTACATTAAATGTACAATTACACGCACTGCAGCTCTTCAATTAAATCATGTGGGATAAAATTTTGGCTAAAATCATTAGAAATTATTGATAAAAACTAAAAAAACTTATAACCCTTACTTACAATGCCGATAAATATCCTAAACTAAAAATAAACACAGCTCTGTCAAAATGCTGCGCTTGAATTAATTTTGACGTACTGACATTTGTTTGAAATTCCGACATTGGCGACTCGTCTATCATCATAATATTATACTAATAAACTAGTTGTTCTTTATTTCGTTCAATTAAAATTTAATAAATAATCACTAAATATTCCGTGCGATTATAATTAATATAATTAATACATCGTGATTGCTTAGTATGAAATGCTAAATTAATTTTATTATTTGACGTCTATTGAGTCACCTATGGATTTACTTCTATCCCTAGGCTTTTTTGAGTTTTTTGTCTGCCGCTAATGAAAAAGACGCACTTCAACTATCTCTATACATGCATATAAGGTTGTATATCATGGCCGCTTGAAAAAAAATAATATTTTTTTCCACTACCACGTTTAAAACGCCCATTATCGTACATGTTTCCATGACACCAAGTGACCTTTTAAATACACATTGAAAAGTTGTGGCTTTATGGCCTTTTAGTTACGGGATGAAGTTTCTTGTAAAATAATACCTTTCTTGTAAAATAATACTAAATGAAAAAATTATTTTATTATCTCAATACAAAAATACAAAAGTATTAAATAGTTCCTCAACGCCAATATTTTAAAAGTTTTTATTTTATTGTCTTTATAATTTCGCCGGCAGTAAACTATAACTTAAATTCGGGCTCATAAAACATTTTCTTTACTTTCACTGTGTAAAACTTTTAATCCATTTTCAAGGAATACATTTCGATTTATAACCTTTATAATCTGTGTTTATAACACATACAAATTTTACATTTGACGGTGGCGCTCTATACAAATTGGGCAATCGCAAAAGTACGTTAATAAAGCGTTATCACACGTATATTGTACAAATTTTTATCTACGCCTCTAAATGAAAAAATAAACGGTAATTATTTTTGTCTAAGACTTAGTTTAGGGTTATTTTGACATTTTGACTTTTTTATTTGATTGGTTAAAAGCAGAGAAAAACGCGTGCGTTAATGAACTTCTTATCTCACTCAAAATGAGTGGGATAAGAAGTTCTTATCTCACTGGCGTAGATAAAGTTTTTTACATCCTGGTCTGTAAATTCGATAACTGCTATTTAACTTGTTTTTGGACTTTTAATAATTGTTATTATAATTGTATGTACATGTAATGTATTGTTTAACAAATAAAACTGAAGATAAAATGTTGTATTCCTTTTTGCTGAGAAGTGTATTTTTGTGCTTTGCTAAATTGTAGGCCTTCTCTTAGACTTATAACATTAATTATAATAAACTATTTAAAGTTGTGTTGCGAAAGAAAAATATTACTTAAATAATACAAACATTTGAAATATAAATATGTACTTACCTTGTCCAATGTTTTCTGGACTCCTCGCAGTCGAGCGCAGGTCCTAAAATTACAATGTTGACAAGACATTGAGCGCACGCAATTAAAATCATAAGCAGACTCTTCCAGAGATAGGATAGACAAGCCGGAAGCGACGAGGCGACCAGAATTAAGACCGCGAAGTAGGAGAAATAAGACGGATACAAACAAGCCGCGTTTATATCTTCCGTTGTTGAGCAATTCTCCGGGGCCTTTTGAATTTGCACGCAAGAAATCTAAAAAGATATAAAAAAAATGTTTATTTAATTCCCGAGGCGATATTGAAATCTAACTTATTGGTCGTTTCAGGGAAATAACTTTTATTACTTTAAAATAAAACTTAGTTTAAAAGTAATTGTTTTTTTAATTTAAAAAATTTACTTGGTTTATAATATAATAAATTATTTCTAATTTAAACAAAAACAGACCCTTTTGGAATTAATTGTACAGTTTACCCAAATCCTCTTTATAATCATAAAAATAAATAATCAAGAGATTTTCTACTTTTTGATAACATTGCAACGGCATGCCAGGAAGAAAAACAATTTTAATTTGGTTTCAAAAAATGGTTTTCTACTTAGTGTACAAATACTTCGGATTCGTGCTTTTGTTTTAAGCGTGCTACAGAACCAGGCACCAACAGACAGCCTGTTTTCGTCTTAAGAATCTTATTAGAACTCATCAGTGCCGGATAGCTGTGGTATTGCACGCTCGAAAGACGGGCAAACAAGTACAGCGACAGCGGTGATATGTAATCAGCCACCGTCTACCGGTCCAGTCGGACGTGGCCCACTATGGTTGTGGGAGTAAAAAAATCATTGTTTTGTTAATATAAATACATTGCAAACTTAAAAGTTTTTTTGTAAAATTTTGAAAAAATGGCACTAGTAGTTTACATAACAAGAGTGGTAAATAGGAATTTACGCAGGGGCAAGTGCGTAATTTTGCGTAATTAAACAAAATTTGGAGTTTTACACGGTGGTCGTAGATAAAGGTTTTTTATGCAGTTTATATTAATTTTTGACTGAAGCATATTTTAATAAATATATTAAGTGGGGTATAAGGTTATCCAAGTGTACACTTGGATAACCTTATACCCCACGTATACACGTGTTGTATTTATGAATGGTTGTCATAAAATTTACCAGGAACTTTACAAAACATTTAAAAAAATGTAATATAAGCATGCGAGAAATGACTCATAAGTTAGCTAGAGCCCCTTTAAATGTAATAATATGCATGGTGTGATTTTTAGGAAAAAAGTTTATGAAAACTTAGGTCTAAGTTTAAAATTGACCAACTTATACAGCATAACTTCTATTTTTAGTAATTTTTGCATAAAATATAAGTTATTTATACCAAATATTACTCTTTTAGTTTTCAAGGTTTTAAAAATATTCAGGAAAAATAATTTTTAGAGACGGACTTTTAAGGGGGGGACTTTTTATTATTATAAGAATTTATTCCACATGAGAAATCTATTGACAACCTTTCGTTATTGCAAAATTTGGATTTTTAAGCATTTACTTGTATTTTTTATTGATTTTAGTTTTAATTTGTTTTCATAAAATAAATTTTTACATCATATTTTTTTTATAAAAATGGTAAAAATTATGCGTTAAAAATCGTCAGGTACTTAAATTTTTAAAATAGAAAAATCATTGTTATAGATAATAAATTAAAAAACTGCAAATTTCATAAAAAATTAATACATATTTCTTAATTATTTTATAAACCATTATAATCATAATAAACCTAAATATATTTATTAAAAAAAAAATTTAAATGATAATTCTTTACATTAGGTACCTTGTAAGTTGTAAGTTAAAAATTGCAACGTCATTAGACCCCCGCCCTAGTAGCACAAAGATATTGGCCCAATATTCGTAATAATATTGGGCCAATATATCTTTCGTCAGATTTTTTCTAGCATGGTCCAATATTGAAACCCAACATTGGCCCGAAGTTGTTTGAAATTATGTAACCGATATTGGAAATCCGCATTGGCCCGAAGTTGTTTTACATTATATTTTAGGAAAGTTGAGGGAGAAATTGAAAGAAAAAACAGATAGCCACCTAGTACTTACTAAGTAGTAGGATTTCTAAAAGTGATATGTCACGATTGTGTCGACTAACGTTTGTTTTCAGAAAATGCTTATAGTAGGTACTTAGGGGCGAAGAAGCGGGTGGGCGAGTGACAATGCCCACCCACATGATAAGGGGGAGAGGGGGGTTACTTGATATAAAATGTACCCTCCAAATTCTTTGAAAAAATCTACCAAAAAGATAAGTCGTGTACCGTCTATGTTATTCTTAATTACGATGAAATGCTAAAATCGTTTGTATCGGGCTTGTTATTCTTACGGTAATATGCAAGAATGGCCTTTATTATTTTCACCCATTTGGTGCTAAACAATAAGGATGGTAGTCGGTTGCGCCACCCCCCAACGTGTGTCGTAACATATCACTTTTAGAAATCCGAAAGCATCATTGACTATAGTTAGTGATATATTGGCCTAAAATAATATGCCAATATAGGACCAACCTTAAATAAACATTGGCAAGATATATTAAATTATCATTTTATGCCAATATAGGGCGAACATCGGATAAATAAATCCAATAATGGCCCCAGATAAAATATTGGGCATAGACGCGCCCCATATAGGACCAATATTTTGTGCTACTGGGTCGTTGTCGAGCGATGACGTTGCGGACTCAAACTTACAGCGTTTAAATTTTACAAAATTAAAATCCTAACATAACATCCTAACATATTTTAGGAGCGACGGAAAATCAAAATGGTATTTAATAAATATTTAATGTTGGACAAGTCTACTTAATACCTGGAGTTTTGTTACGCATCACGTGCCATGGGGAATTTAGGAAAATATATTTTCTTTGAATACAAAATATAAAGTAAATAATTTCTACAAAACTCTTTGCAGAATAATAAATAAAGAATGAGACGTATTTGGTTGTCAAATTTCATTTTATATAACAAGATATATTTTCAGTAGCTACCCAGAAAGGGGTTTTCTGGAATAGCATTACGAAATATGTCATTATAAATCATTTGAGATTATGCTGTGTTTATAAAGAAATTTGGTTGTGATACAATAAAAATTTATTAAATCCTGGACTATATGAATATTTATTAAATATTTTGTAGTACCTTATACAGAAACAAGTATTGTTAAGCTTTAAATGTATATCATATTGATAAATTAACTTTATAAAAAAAAACTTGAAGGTATTATTATACTTGCACAGCCATTTTGCTGCAGATTAGGAAGGTTTAATTTGTCCAAGCGGAATCCAAAATTGACCATTATTTTGCTCAACCAGCGTTTGTTTTCGCAATATTGCAAAAAAATGTTCGATATATAATCATTTAAATATAAAGTATGGTCCAGTTGAAATATCATAATTTTCGATATGAGCATGCGAAAATAAGGTAGACTGTTATTAACAAACATTAAAAATGTATCCTAAAATAAATAATGGCCGTCAAACTTGGATAAAAAGTAGTTTTCCCATCATAACTTTTAAAACACTATAAATTTTCTCAGTAATGTTGTGAATAATTATTTAAAAAGTGCCGCAGTTACTTGAACCAAATAAAAGTTTTAAAATAATAAATAAATTTAAAAACTCCTTTTGAAATTTTTTTATTTAGGACTTTGTTTTTAATATTATTTGAATTTATATAATACTAGAAGTAATATTAGTATACTATAGTCTTGGACTTCTGACATAAACTGTAAAAATAGATTTATCAACCATATTAACTTCAAAGATGCTAAATGCCTTGTTTATTTTGTTAACATAGCAACCCCAAGTAGCATAGTGACAAAAACTGATATAACGTTAAAATCTACCACGACACAGTTGAAATATCTTCATAGTATATAAGCATAGTTGTAATCATGTAATTTGCACTAGCAGAAGACACTTTATAGTTTAATAACTTTTTGGTGTATGTTATGTTATGTTATGACCACTTTTGACACCACCTTAAAGTTGTCTAAAGTGAATTATAAATAGTAACGACAACCAAACCACATCACCTAAGTATTACTTGGAAGTGGGAGTAGTAGTACACTGAAAGAAATATATACTAAAGTTAAATAAAAAAATAATTAGGGCAAATATATTTTATGTTTCATATATAGACTACCACATACATTGCTAAAACAAATATATTCGTTTGGTTAGCAGCCTATTGCTGCCCTAGCAATATAAATGGTGTTTCTAGCAATATTTTTTTGCTGTAATTCACTTATAGTTTACATTTTATAGTAAGGGTAAGTTTATTTTTATTTAGATCTAACATATCTTCTTTACAATAAATGTATTACAAAATTTACCATACATTCATAATAAACAGTAGTATAAATGTGTAAAGCACTAGTATAAAATTTTTAGTATAAATTTGTATTTACTTTTAGCAACAAATTTCTTTTAGTGTAAAGGGCCAACGTTTTCGGAACTTTGCACAAATCTTGAATGTGACAAAACTTCATTATATATTTATTTGCGGTGGTCATTGCCACGTTTTGTTACATCCCATATTATTACCACTTTAAAGTTCCATTCTGCAAAAGTAGACATGTTAAAAAATAGTCTCCATTGTAAGAAAATAAATGTGTGGGTAGTTTTAAACAAATAATTCTGGTTAGTAAGCGACCAAATTTATTATGTTAATACATAATAATTCGTTTCAGGTAACCGGAAATAATAAAGACATTAATTGGGGCCTTTGGATAAATAATTTTCACATCCGCTAAGTTTACACATTTTTATATTCTTTTTCATTATCACATATTTCACTTGTTTGATAGTAACATTTTATCAGTGTTAATTTTATGTTATGTAGTGGGCAGTATATTTTCCAAAATATCTCGGTAAATTTTGACATTTAAGTTTAAGTTCCCTTCAATGATAAAGGGACCGATGAATTTGTTGCCAACCATTCTACACCACACGTTGACAGTCGAAGGACGCTGATGTTCAACTTGATGGAGCCAACGCAGATTTTCAACACTACAGTAATGCCGATCCCGATTTACCGTTCCGTGGTTCGTAAAGGACGACTTGTCCAAAAACAATACAAAATGATAAAAAATTGGATTTTGTTGTATTTGTTCACGCCCCCTATGACAAAAGTTGCCCGATTTAGAAAATCCAAACCATGAAGCTCCTGATGTAACGAAATATAAGGATGGTATTTATTTCGTTTTAATATTCTGATAACACTGCTCTGGAATATTCTGGAATCGCGAGATAATTTTCGTGTGCTTGCATGGGAATTAGCAGCAACGGCTGCTAATAAATTAATTTCATTATTTCATCAGTGACTGTTGCTCAACGAACCCTTTTTTTCGGTTTAACATTTCCGTTTGTAGTAAACTGTTTGATTTTACGTTGAAATGAAACACGCGATCAGTTTTTTTCCGGAAAACGCTGAATGTACTCTCTTAAAATGAATTATAAGTCATATTTGATTAATTGTCATAGTGAAAAAGCAGTCACTAATAATTGGTCAAATTCTACTAAATGAAATAGTTAAATTAGCAGATTATCAACCGGATGTGATAACTAATGAGCCATCAGTCACTTTTACAAAAACAGTTTTATCTGTCTTTAATATTGTTGAATATATTTTTTGTGTTGCTGTTTTTAAGCTAAACTTTTTACATCTTTATTTGTTTTTAAGGGTCATTTAACCATGGAGCCTATATGCATTTAACTTAAACAATAACTTGTTGTTGGCCGCAAACGATTAAAGAAATTAGTTACTTTTAACTCTCAGAAATATTCAAGGATGGTGACTTATTATTAGTCCAACTTTAACTATTTAAGTAGTTCAAAATAACTATTTAAAAGTGAAAAGGACTATTTTATTAATAAAAAATGCTGGTACTAATTTAAATAGTAAAATTTTGACTATTTCATTTTAAGAGAGTAGATATTAACAACATCATCAAGATTTCTGCCTGCTTCTCCATAAATCAAAACCATTTCTATTTTTTCGTCCACTGTTAAAACATCCATTAAGAACCTAACTGTCTAACGAAAACAAGTCTTTTTGTTCGCAAATTAATCTTCAAACTAAATAAAATTTATTTCAGTTGTTTCTAAAGGTTGTTTGAAGCCGGACTCTTTTTATTTTCAACACGAGGATAACAACAAATAACAAACAAAAACAAGAATAAAAAAAATTAAACGAGTATTAAACTGATTAATTCTAATTAAATGAAATCATGTATGAAACTTTAACTTTAGGAAACTTAGTTATTAGTACTTAATTTAATTTAATAACATAATTATTTCCCCAATGAAAAATTATTTCAGAATGGTATACAGAGTAAATACCCAATTACTGAAATATTTCAAAATTTTAAGTTAAAAGACTCACCCTGTATATAATAAAGAAATACCTTTCACATTTTTTTCAAATTTAAAAGGAAACGACGTGCACGTCATCAATCAGTTGATTTGGCACGGTTGTCAATGTGATGCTAATCATTGCATCAAGTAAAAGTGGTAGTGGAACTACAGGGCGATAGATGGCGTTTACATAAATAATACACAGGGTCCCTAGATTTGGGACCTTATAATACATGTCAAAAGTCAGAGTATGTTTTTAGCCATTTTTAAAGACTTTCAGCTATAAAATCCAGAAATTTTGCCATCTAAAGTCAGTATCTGGTATATATATATAATCTTATTTTATATATATAATCTTATTTTATGGATCCAACAGAATATAGTATATTTTGTTAAATATTCTAATATATAATTAATAATAATCCTATTTACCTCTCTAAGAGCTGTTAAAGGTAACAAAGGTCCATTATTATCCCGTTCTGCCTCAAAATAGCGTATTAAGGATAATACCAACTCTTGACTCCGTCTATTTAAATTATTCAGATTTTAAATACAGGAAAAACAAAAAAAAATGATATATAACAAACACAAAAACGGCAATAAAAACTTAAACGATATAAAATAACACCAACAACAAACAAAATAAACTAAATTATACACGAATTATTCAAAAACACAGCTGACAGCTTCGAAATTCTAAAACGTCAATTTCTTTTTCTATGCGTCATTTTATTAAGCCAGATTTAAATCTAAACATGACAACATCCCAAGCAGCATTTTAAGTAAAATCGTAGAGCTTTGAGGCAATATTACTTAATTTAAGTAAATATTTTGTTAAATTAACTTTAAAAAAATAGTTTGAGGTAAAACTTTTTTTAAAGTTATTTAATAAGTTTTATTTATGTTATTTTTACCTATTTTAACAACCCTTAAGTTTCAACACTTTAAAGTATTATGAGGGACGTAATTTTTACGAAAGAAAATTACTTATAAGTGTATTTCATCTAAAGGAAAATTTAACGGTAATTTTAACCTCAGAATTTTTACTTAATGGTAAATATTACTCATAAGTCATAATTTTACGATATTAAGACTACTTTATAACCGTAAATAATACCTATTTGCCTGGTATTTTTTAGGGTTATTAGTGGTAATAAATACTATTAGTATTGACTAAACAAGGAAAAATAAGCTTAAAGTGAAAAATAAAACTTTAAGGGAAAATTTTTTTCATTTCGCCATAATGATTTTTTTAAGATGGCATCCATTACTTATCTAAACATTTATATAATATTTTTTCAAAATTTTTTTTCTAAAATATAATAAGGAAAGTTTTAGTTATTAAAAAAGGATTAAAACCGTAAAAAATAGTTTAAAGTTGACTTAGTAGTAAATTTGTAGTTATTTTAACTAAAAATGCTGCTTGGGATTGCAATTGCTGCCAACTAAAGTTGTTTAAAATGCATTAAAATATTCAATTACAGACTTCGTTTTATACATTTAGTAATGGTACCATTGCGCAAAATTATGACGTCATCGATGACGTGTACGTCGTTTCCTTTTAAATTTACTTTATTTTAATACAAAACATTTTTGTAATAAAACTGATTTTATAATTTTTTTCTTACCGTATCCACAATATTGGCTGATCCCAGCAGTATAACGCACAAAGTTGACAGGACTCGCCTAATAGTCATCGATTCCTTAAACGCTTTCCAGCACCTCGACTAAAAAGTAAACGGGAAAAGTTAAAGGCATTATTTCGCTTCATCGAAAACGACAACTTTCCAAGCAATTAATTACTTACCAACGCCGGAAATTCCTCGGCTATCGCAATAATGACTAAGACTACGAACACCACGTTTTCCGTGCAATAGGATATATCGATCGTCAAGTCGCTAAAACAAGATCAAAATTAATACACTGAAAAACAAGATTTAATATTTTGCTTGCTTTATATAAAAGTAAGCACTGGTAAGCGATCTATATTTAAAATACTAAGTTTTTAAAGAAAAACGAAACTCCTAAACAAATAAATTTTTTGAACAATTAAACTAGTCCAGCTGTCTAAAACCTAGTCAAATAAGTAATAGATTTTACTAATAAAAAATAAATCATTTTGAAAATTTAAGATATTTGTAATTATCTTTAATAATCCAAAAAAAGAGTAATTACCCATTAACCAACTTTTATTATTTTTTGCCAGAACATAACCAAAATGCATTTTAAAAAGTTTTTGATGCGCTGAATTTAACGTCGACCTCAATTGCTCACTCTCTTTAGAAACTTCGCATTTGAATTTTATGATCAAAACGATAAATCAAATTTTAACCTAAACCCTTAACCATAAACTTCAACTGACGATTTGTCGAAGAGGAAAAAGAGTTTGAAGTAAAGGAGTAAAACTTTCAGATGACGTAACGAGTTTTGTAAAAAAAATATTTCGTGATTTCTATGTTTTTCCATCTTTGGTTTATACTTCGTCAAAAACCTGACGTGATGGGTAAATTTTAAGTTAAATTTTGAATTCGACACTTCAAAAACGTTTGGAAATATAGTCTGTAATATAATTTACTGAAATTAATAATATAAAACTAAAAGGACTTTTAAATTATTTCTCTTAATAGAAAAATAATATAATATATAATGTTACTATATAGTATAATATGTACCATTTATTTATATTCACCGATATACTTTTTTAGATAATTTACATTAAACGAAAATTAATGTTGCTCAGTGTTATTTTAGTAAAGTTATGTTTATTGGTAAAGTCCTTATAACTTAGGTATTAGTTATCCTTAATAGATATTAATTATATTACATTAACAAGACGTCAACTTCATAAGTTTTTAATTAAAAGTATAAAGTACATACTATATATTTATCAAAATTTATATTATTATTTTTTTAACTTTAAACAGAAACCATAATGTTTTGTTTTGTTTTATCTGCACAAATCGACACTAGCAAATAAAAACATCATATCTTAATTCTTGTCAAAATTAGTTAAGATGATTTGCCTATAAAAAATCCCATATATTTAATCCAACGTTAACGATTTATAACCTCAAAAGTAATAGTCATCGGTATTCAAGATGTTTTTTCCAAAGATATAATTTATTGACATTTTTAGCAAATCCAATAACTATAGTTATAGGTATAGAGGTCAGCAACTCTATAATGAGTCACTACTAAGAACCAGAAATATAATAGAAAGAGTATTTGGAATTTGGAAAAGAAGGTTTTCAGTGTTGGCATATGGCTTAAGATTAAAACTAGATAGTTTTGTCCATTATTCCGGCTGCAACCTTACTACATAATATTGCTAGGGACATGAATAAACCAGAGCCGCCATTGCCTGCTGATTAATGCCATGAACTGGAGTTCCCTGTTGTTACTCATCCACAAGATCGCATTATGTTTCAAAATCAATTAATACAAGATTATTTTGCGAATTTATAAAATTTAATGTGAATAATATTTTTAATGTTTTATTTAATTTATACTTATTTAAAATTAAAATAAAATAAATAGTCACTTTCTGTTTATTATTATAATATATTAAGTTTTTCTTTTCTTCTAAAATTTTTAAATCCGAAAGAGTCATTTCTTTTTCATCCTTTTTATTGTTAATTTCCTGCTCTAATTGTTTTAGCTCTATCTGTCTCTTTGTTTTCAATGATACCCTTGTATCCACGAGATTAATTAAATAATTTTTTTATTTTCTGAAAAATTTGAGAAGCGAGCTCTCTTTTTTTTAGGTTCTGTATCTATATTATTCTCTCTTACCATCAACTGAATCCGTCGTACATGAAATAGAATCGAATCACAGATTATAAAGAATCGAACTCTAACAAATCTAACAAATAAGTGTGAAGTTAGTTATTAGCACCAATATTTTCCATTTTTTAGTCAAATTCCCTAGATCACTAGTTAAATTTTAAACCATAGTGAAAAAATCACGGTGCAAGATTTTAGACACTAATCTCCTGTTACCTTTTAACTTGGCAGTTTATTTAACTGCACTTATCAGTTAGAGAAAACGGTGCAAGTGGCCATAATACATTTGCCAGAAAACTAAAAGTTTATTATTGTAATTTATAATTTATAATTTTTTACTAAATAATTTGCAGTAAAATTAAGGCGCCCAGAAAGCATAACATTAGCTCTCGAACGCGTTCGGACATTAGGCAAAATAATGCTTCATAATGTAGTGTTATCTTTTTTTTTCTACCACTATTACGAAATATGACCGTTCTTGTTACAGAATATACCATTCGATGTTTTTAATTAATTACCGAGATAAAAAATAAAAACGAAAAAATGAAAAATTAAGAAAATATATATATTTTTTAAAACTTAACTCGCGATAACTTCATAAATTAACAATATTTGAAATTTTCCGTGAAAATTGTCCAATGGCGAATTCATCTCGCTGAAGTCAATGAACGTTAAAACATGTATCTGGTCAGTTGGAGCTAAATTGACTTTGGAAAACTTTTTAAAATAAAGAATATACACTTGGAGAAGAAGAATAAACAAAAGGCACAATTAAATGTTTTTAATTGTGTTAATTTTTGTATTATTTGTAATAAATGAAATCCACCTTCTTTTGTTTGTATATAAACCTCTTTATCTTTGTTGGTTGATGTTTTTGTTAAAATTGTAGATACCCACTAAACTGCAAATTCCAAAAAACTTCTTTTATTTTTTAAAATACGACAATAAATAACGGAGATAAAAAGTTTTATGTAAACCAAAAAGGGCGATATTTTGAAAAGAAAAGTTTTAATAACAAACATCCCAAATAACAATTGTAAGATACTTTTGATTTATTTTGGGTTTAAAAGTGCTTTAATATGTTCCATAAAACGATATTGGTGTTAAGGTTGACATAAACTATATGTTCTTCTTAAAAGCCACTTATTTTTGCAAATAATTTGATGTAGGTACTCTTTAAATTAAAATAAAAGAACTATTTGCTCTTAATGCTCTATTGATCTTTTAATGGTTTTATAATACCCTCGACATTGGCTATTTTAAAACTTATTTACTTTTTTAAAGAATGAAATAGCAAGCTGGTTTTAAAACAATGCATTTTGTAAGAAAACTATTTTTTTTATGTTAATAAAATTCCACTTTTAATCCAAAATCATAATTTTTACGTTTTAAAGAGTCCATTAAGAATATTTTAATGATTAAAGGTTTTAATTTAGTCAGTTTGGTTGAAAGAAATGCCTGTTAGATGTTTAACTACTTTATTAAAACTAATTCTACCCCCTCCACATTCGGATCTTCTCCATAAGCTAGTTTAGTAAACCAGTGCAGATTGTGTATCTAAATACTTTATACGTTAAAGAACATACAAACACATATTTAAAATGAAAAATATTAGCGACAAATATTTTAAATTAAAACAATTTGTAAGGTTAGGATTTCCATCGCGCGCCAGACCACTTTAAATCAATAAGGTCATGAGTAAAGATATTTAAGCAATTCAATTTTTAAATGAAGAGTAAATAGACCACTTTAAATCAATAAGGTCATGAGTAAAGATATTTAAGCAATTCAATTTTAAAATAAAGAGTAAATAGACGTCCAAACATGCAATTTGATAAAGAAAAGCATTTAGATGTTTAGGTGCAAAATAAAGTTTGATGATATTTTTTTAAATAATAAAAAATCATTAAATTGATGGCGCTCGAGTTATGTAGAAGCTTAGAAGTTTTTTTTTATATTTGTCAAAAAAGTGACAACCGTTGTTAAATATTTTACCAGAATAGTTTGCATTTGAATATATTTTATGATCTGCTTATATGTATATGGCATTAGGTTTAAAATATTACCACTTTGCCATTAACTATTATAAACAAAATTTTTCCACTTTGGTAAACAAAATAAAACCCTTTTTGTATGCTGCAAGTATATTTGAAATTCAAATAAGTTTTATACATAAATTTAAAGTTGCCTTGAAAAACTTTTTAAAAATATAAAATGAAAACGAAATGATTTAAAAATAGTTTTAAGTCTTGAAGACCCTTTTAGGATAGGCTATTTTTGGCTAGAAGCTTCTTTATGATGGTCCTAAGGCTATCTTAAAGATTTTGGTTTTATTTCAAAATTTATTGTATAGTTTTAAAGCGACCTTGGAGGTCGCAGAGCATTAGTGTTACTTGATATGTTTATTTATACCACAGCTATAATTATTTATCAATTAAAGTAAAATTTTCCGAAAAGTTTCCTTAAGCTATACAAAATAAGCCTATTTACAAAAATTCAAAAATATGAAATTTTGTTAATCACTTTTTTACGATATGGTTACGAGAGCATGAAAAAAATACGTCACATCATGGCGCGTATTAAATCCATGACGTGGCATTTTTTAAATTCATTTGAATCATAATTTTTAATTGACAAGTTCTTTGCACGGTGACGCCTATTATTTTGCGTGCTGTTCGAGCGCTAAGCTGATTATGCTTTCCGGGCCCCCAATTATATTTATTCGTAAAAATACAGGTCGTGGGTTTTATAAAAAAATTTGATATAGGCAACATTATAAAAATTAATAAAAAAACGTTTTTGGCAAAGTTTGATTTGAAATGGATTTAGTAACGGTTTATTTTAAAATAATTATAATAACGAAACCAATATTGTCAAATTATACAGTACATGCATTAATTACTAATGAAGTAATATAATAATATTATTCGAAACTTTAGGTAATTTAACATTTAATTTTTTAAGGCTAATGGGAATAAATGAAACAACAAATACATTTTTTTTACAAATAAATAAACCAGGGTTAAACAAGATTCTAAAATTTCGAAAATTATAAATTTGTTTGCTAAATCCATTGTCGATGCTTGATGATTGGTATTGATTTTATGTTAAATTT